CTTGAGATTGACTCACTCATTGACTACAGCTTCCGATGCCATAACTTAGGACTCTTTTGGAAAAGAAGGCTTTGATCCAATTTGATTCGCTATTTCAAACTCCTCAAAAACCTTTACTATTCCATATATAATATGGTTCTTGCCCAAAACTCACATGAATGCGATCCTCGAGACAAAGTATCCACGGATCGAGAACTCGGGAAAACCTCCTCATTAGGAATGCATTAATATGGAACAGTCTTCTCTCTGAAATACGCATGGCAGATGAATCGCATGCGTTTGTAAGGCTTACTGATTAAACCCTCACTTGCGCAGATCTAGCCCGAACGAACGCATCTGCGACCCACACAAACATTATGGGCTTTGTACATGTATAGACCAAACTGCCTTATATTCCTACTTTGTAGCAGTATTAGATACTTCTTCCTCCCTAAGTGTTTAATTGATGTAGACAGGTAACTCACTGTACCTATCGAGTTTCGGTTGCTAAGAGGTGCTCACTATTACCCCAAAAAGTCAAAAGAACCGCACGATTGACTGCCTGCTACCAGTGGTCTTGCATCTACGGAGCCTATTACCCATCAACCGGTTAGGACAGCACAAAATAACATCAGAACAAAGTCAATGAAAGTGGGTTCTTGTCTATTCTTTATCAGCTTTTTACTCACCAGTACACTAAGTTGACCTGCCATTAAGTTTATTTCTCCACTCGTTACCTAATTTGTAATTCTTATATTCCTATACTTTTCCACATATTTATGTATACAGCTATATTACAATATATCCTTCTTATAGACTATAATCTGATTGACAACCTATATTTTATACTATAGCCAAATAAAGCATTGCATCGAAGCCTTGCCCACAGTCCATGATTTGTAACTGGGTGATATAATTGTAAAATGGTACTTGTATAAATATTGATTTCCAACAGGTTAGGATACACAGAGCATTGTGTGAGGTATGATATGTATCCGAAAAATAAGCCTAAATGAGCCTAACATTACGAAAGGAGGGGGAGATTGGAGTTGCTGACCAGCAAGCATAGACGGTAGAGGCGATGAATTCAATCCACCCATCTTTGTGGGGCAGAAAATTTTGAATGTATCAGGCTCTTTATGTTTGAGAAAAAGTCAATCAATCTGTGATATTGAAATTGTTTTCCCACCACTCAGACTCATGTTTCCAATTTTTATGCTGCATTAGCTATTTTACTAAGACAACCTATGAAATGCTAACTCAAACTTTTACATTAAGACTGTAGGGCAGGCATCGGATGGAAAACAAGAAAAAATCAGACAATTAAATATAGTTATTACTGTTCTTAACACTAATACCTATATGAAACTTTCGTTCTAATAAACAGCCTTCCTTTTTCCAACTCTGACTTTCCTTCTTTCATTTGAACTTACTCCACCTTGGTAAATATCCCAACCCATTGTTCTTTAGTAATAATAATAATATATTTCTGCATGAGCAGGTACACACCATTTTTACAGGCATGATCTACCAATTAGAACATTTGTTGGCGCACAGAATGCTTAACAAATTATTAAGTTTATAGTTGTTATAAAGTAGGCTCGTAGAGCGCTTGCTGTAAACTATTGAAGGTGCCAAAGGTATTCGGAGTTTGCCAACGCTTTAACCGGTAAAACCTCCTAATATGAAGCGTACCCACTAAGTGAAATCAAAAGACAGAAGCGAGGAGGTTCGAAGATATATTTGATAGGCTATCAATAAATCGAGAATCGTCTGACCTAATCTGGCTAGCGATTGCGGTAGATGTTGAGCATGACATTATCACTCGTGACCTGGTGCGGATGCATGACCGAGCGCCTTCAGCTAGATGAGTCTATTAAAACATGTGGTCAGCATCCAATGTCGAAAACGTACAGAGCTATTTATTTTGGGGATTTATTTACTGCTACAGATCACTCCTCTCTAGTGTGGCAGTGATGACCCTAGTACGAGGCCAGCCAGAAGTTTAAGCCGTTGAGGAGACGCGTACGTCAAGTTTGTTCCAGACTTCAGAAAGTCCATAGCTATGCTCTCAGAGAAAGAGTTTCCTACAGCAGGAGCTAATGTGGATTTATCCTAATAATTTGTCTTACTTCTGTCTGTTTCACTACAAAATGCTGAGTACTGTTTATCATTCATATCCAAGTGCATTGCTGATCCTCGGTTTCTCTTTTTTTCAGAACGTTGCTCTGAGGGTACAGCTATGGAAATTCTGACACCTGGAACAGTCTCGACGTACTTGTTTTCATGAGGTTATATTTCACTCCATGTGCTCTACAAGCCCACTTTATAACAACTATAAACTTAAAAAGTTGCATCGCATAGATACTTAGCGCGATCAAAATCCTAACACAATTATGTCGAAATTAGATCTAGTGTTTAACGTGGATGCGATGCCGTATTGGAGAATATTTTCAAGACAACTTATTATATCTGAACGAATGAACTGATATTCACTTTTATAGATTATATTTATTTGACATCCCTGCTTGGGATGCATACTGTGAACCAGTAAATGTTGTAATTTGTAGACCAGGCCTGTAAAAATGGCGTGTACTTGCCCTTGCAGAAATAAACTTGAGAGTCTATAAAAATATTCCCTAAAACATGGAGTCATATATCTATCTGCAGGGATTCTAGCACTCTTTCCAAGCAGACAGCGAAAAGCTTACAGTCATATATTGAACCACGCTGTGACCTCGATTTCGGTCAAACACGGCCTTATCGTCAGTAGTCCAGCAATATGCAATAGAACAATTAGTTAATCAATGTCATCTAATAAAAGCTTACATGAGGAAGAGTAAATAACATAGAATGCGGTTAAAAGAGATCTAAATAAAGGTAAAAATGCACGAAAGGAGGAAGAAACAACAGTAGTAGTTATGCAACTTCGCTATATTGAATTGTATAGAGATTAAATTAGGGTAATATGGAGACAAGCTGTTAAATATAGTAATCTAAAATAGACACACTCTTATTCGCCGCAAATTGATCACTTATGAAGCCACATACAGTACACGGGAGCCTAAATTAGAGGACCCAGAAACGCTTCAGAAAATGCCTTATTTTTTCAGTTTCGCTTTTGCATGGAATCATAATATAAGCTCAGAATTGACAAGTCATGACAGCTAAAGCATATCTGCGCCATGCACTTTGCTACGATTGATGAAATTTTCAGATTAACGACTGTTGCAATGCACAGAATAATTAAATATGATGTTTAGGACAGTCTATACAACTCCATTGAACTGGTACTACTATAATACCATAGTTATTGCTTGTGAATATTGTTTCAGAAAATTAAAGCATACAAGTATAATAGTTTTCTGAGAATCGTACAAGTTTCCTTCAGTAGCGTGCATAACGCCTTCATTATTGATATGCGGAAACCCAGAAACTCGATGTCACACAATTCAGGTTATATTCACAAATTATTGGCAAAAAATGATGATTGTTAGAAGGCTTGGTGACAATAACGGTGGGTTAGACGGACTAAAAGAAACAAAGCATTCTGACGTGAGTAAAAGCAGTTTGGTGTTGAATTCGTAATAATCAAATTATTGGTATCACAAGGCATCATGTAGATAAACTCTTCAGTAGATGAATTTACTCTTTGTCGTTTTGTTAATCTAAATCCACATCAAAGTCAGCACAATAAATTACTCAACAGAAACTGTAATAAACAGTACAAATTCAGTAAAAATAAGAACTTCTAGACGACTGAGACGGAAGGGATGAAAATAATTAACGACAAAACAGGACAATCTTGAACAAGAAATCCCCAGTCTCCTCAGCCACTTTCGCACCAATAAACACTGAAACAATGAACGAATAATTATTAACAACGCGAAATTTGTACATAATAGTAAACAGAAAGTCTCATATCAACACAGGAACGATCCATCGAAGCATGAAGACAGAAGTATCACCAACCAAATGGCCTTGTTGATTACTAACATAGATTATCTCTATCGAATTATTGGGGGCCTACTCGAATCATACGGGAATGATGTGACGAAACAGCTGACAATGAAATCACACCTTAAGATAAGAACCTAACGTGAGTTACCCTTTCATTATATCAGGTATGATAGCTACTTTGGTTACCGTACAATATAAAAGACGTTTTCGAGAAAAAATATATATCGGTAAGAAAAGTTACTAGGGTGTGACTTAAAACGCCGCTGCATGTGCCGGTTCATGATGTGTAAGTAACTTCTGCGCGTTGCTTGTCCCTGATCTTGAAGACAATCAGTGAACTGTTTGATATTCATTGACCCAAATGTTTGATTATTTGGCTCGGGCACGGTGACTTTTTTACCAGCAGTACAGAGTAAAAATGAACTTTAAACTGGTCAAAATGATGAAGCTTCCTAGCAACTGAAAAATAAAACATCCAGCCTGTGGAAGGTATAGTGGCCAAAAATATAAACCATGTTCGTCAATTGATCATAATTCAGAAATTGTCAGACCATAAGAATGTAGCGGTAAATAAATCCCCAAAATAAATAGCACTAAGTTTTCGACATTGGATGCTGACCATATGTTTTAGTGGACTCACCTAGCTGAAGGCGCTCGGTCAGTCATCCGCACCAGATCACGTGTGGTAACGCCGTGCTCAACATCAACCGCAATCGCTAGCCAGATTAGATCAGAGAATTCCGATATATTGGTCATCGCCAAATATACTCTTCCGATCTCCTCGACTCTGTCTTTTGATTTCTCTGGGCGGGAACGAAATATATTAGAAGGTGTTACTGGTAGAAGCGTTGTCAAACACTGAATACCTGTGACATCATCATTGGTGAAACCGACGTGATCTGGTACACCTAATTGCAACTGTGAGTCTGTTCCTTTTTGGGATTTTTATATATCATTGCCTTATTTTTTTTAACTTTTTTAAACATTGTGATTTTTTTTTCGTGTTTTTTCCTGGATATATATATTTTCCCCTTGTTCATTATCGTACTTCATACTTCATCATGACTGAACAGACACCTAAAGTACTCAAGCTTAAGACTTTGTCCCCGCCTTCGTTTCAACTCATGCCTTTTTGGCCCGACAACATCGAAGCCTGGTTTTGCTACGCAGAAGCCGACTTCTCCGAGCACGGCGTGATCGACACACGTGCACAATTCCTCGCAGTAGTCAAGGCACTACCGCGCGAATTCAACAGGTACGTAACACCTAGTATGTTTACTAGTGATGTTTCCGATCCTTACGAAATCTTAAAACGCTCGATTCTTAAACGAGGAGACCTAACCGATCGACAAAGGTTAGATCAACTCTTCAACAATATCGACCTGCAACACGGTTCTGCGACAGACATGTTGCAACGGATGAGAGAGGTTATAGGCCCAAGAACTTTCGACGAAGGCCTATTCAAACAACTCTTCTTGTCAAAACTTCCCCAACAGGTGCAAGCAGTTCTGGTATCGTTCCAGAACAACGCCTTAGACGAGCTAGCTGCATCTGCCGACCGCATATTAGAAATTACGAAATCTACTACCGAGGTATTTTCAGTCAAAGAAAAACCTCAAACGACTCAGAATGATATAAACGACTTATGTCACACACTCACGCGTTATCTTAGTCTTCGTAACGACCGTAAGAGATCGCGCACACCACGTAGAAGCATTTCTCGTAAGCGATCTGTCTCTAGACCACGAGAGACAGATAACCCCGACTGGTGCTGGTATCATAACCAGTATGGAAAGCTTTCCAGAAATTGCAGAAAACCCTGCAATTTTCCCAACACGAAACCGACTGATTCGAAAAGCAATTCGGGAAACTTCCAAGCCGGCACGCGTTAACGGCAACCGTAGCCGGCGAACAAAGCCGTCTGTTATTCGTCACAGATGTGACAACGAGAGTTCGCTACCTCGTCGACACTGGCGCAGAAGTTAGCGTTCTCCCAGCGATTCCTAACGACCGACTACACGAATCGACCCTAAACTTACAGGCGGCAAACGGAAAACCGATCGCTACGTATGGCAAAAGGTACGTTTACCTTAACGTGGGTTTACGCAAACCCATCCACTGGATTTTCGTTGTTGCAGATGTTTCTATGCCAATCATTGGTATGGACCTTCTACAACACCACAATCTGATCATCGACACCCGCAAACGGAGGCTAGTAGACGGAAACACTAATTTGTCCGTTTGCGTAACTTCTTTTACTGGTTGTAGAGTATCCCCAGTCACAGTTAAACATATGATAGACCCACTCTATCAACCACTACTCGATAAGTACCCTGAGATACAACAAACTCAAACGAAACTACCGTGTGTAACCAGCAATGTTACACATCACATCACGACTACAGGACCACCTGTATTTTCTAAAGCACGCCGACTAGCTCCTGAAAAGCTAAGGTTAGCGAAAAACGAATTCGATCACATGATGGACTTAGGAATCATACGACCGTCAAGTAGCCCATATGCATCTCCGTTGCACATGGTCCCTAAAAAGGACAGCAACGATTGGCGTCCAACTGGTGACTATCGGCGATTGAACGCGAAAACCATTCCCGATCGTTACCCGTTGCCTCACATTCACGATTTGACAGCTACCTTGAAAGGTACAACTGTCTTTTCGAAAATCGACTTGGTCAAAGCGTATAACCAAATCCCTATGGCTACTGACGACATACCGAAAACAGCTATCATAACTCCTTTCGGACTCTATGAATTTTTGCGTATGCCTTTCGGTCTAAGGAATGCTGCTCAAACATTCCAAAGATTCATAGACGACGTTTTTCGAGGTCTCAACTTCGTACACGCGTATGTTGATGACTGTCTAATCGCAAGTCCGGACAGAGAAACACATCTCAAGCATCTGGATCTTGTTTTCGAACGACTTCAAAAACATGGCATAACTGTAAACGTTCAGAAATGCCAATTCGGAACCGACTCGTTAGACTTCCTAGGACACACTATCGATGCTCAAGGCATTCGACCTCTTAGGACCAAAGTGGCGGCCATTCTGGATTACCCAGAACCGACCACCGTCAAGCAATTACGCACGTTTAACGGCCTGGTAAGTTTCTATAGACGTTTCATACCGAAATGCGCATTACTCATGAAACCTCTAACCGACCAACTTCGTGGAAATGCGAAATCCATTAATTTGGACGACACCGCACGAAAAGCATTCTCCACAGTTAAGGAACTGATTGCTAAAGCAACAATGCTCGCACATCAGGACACCCGAGCACCCATTAGCATCGCAGTAGACGCATCCGACTCAGCAATCGGAGGAGTCTTACAACAATGGGTTAACAACTCCTGGCAACCCTTGGCATTTTTCTCTAGAAGGTTGCTAGACACCGAATCGAGGTACAGCACATTCGGTAGGGAACTCCTAGCTATGTATTGTGCTGTACGGCATTTCAACACTACATCGAAGGTCGTGAATTCACTCTTTTCACGGACCATAAACCGCTCACTTTCTCGTTAAGCTCTCCTTCTGACAAGTACTCTCCCCGTGAGTCTCGACAACTGGACTACATTTCGCAGTTTACTTCAGATATTCAACACATCTCTGGAGCAAACAATGTAGTTGCAGACGCTTTATCTCGTATAACTTCCTTGAACAGTTTCCAAGGAATCGACCTTCTTAAACTCGCCGAGCTTCAAAAAGAAGACAGTGATCTTCAGCACGAGTTATCGTCCACAACACTTAAACTACGCATCAAACAGATGGGAACAGGTAAGGAAACCTTACTTTGTGACACATCTACAGGTAGGGATCGCCCAATCGTGCCGAAACATTATCGACGCAATGTCTTCAACACATTGCACAAACTTTCGCATCCAGGTGTTCGTGCAACCGTCAAGCTTATAGCAGAACGGTTTTGCTGGCCTGGAATGAATAAAGACGTGAGGGAGTGGGCACGCTCCTGTGTAAGCTGCCAAAAATCTAAGGTTATCAGACACAATAAATGTCCCTTAGGCTCATTTAAAACTCCCGATGCTCGTTTCGACCATGTTCATCTGGATTTGGTAGGACCTTTACCAGATTCAAATGGATACTCTTATCTCTTAACCTGCGTAGACCGTTTCACTCGATGGCCAGAAGCAGTACCTATCAAGGACATCACTGCTGAAACAGTGGCCCGCACCTTCGTCGAACGATGGGTAGCAAACTTCGGTTGCCCTTCAACCATCACTACAGACCGCGGACGTCAATTTGAATCTGATCTTTTCCGTCGTCTGACCACTCTTTTAGGAAGCACTCGCTTCCGAACGACCGCCTACCATCCACAAGCAAACGGGTTGGTAGAACGTTTTCACCGACAACTGAAAGCTTCGCTATCAGCTACAAACGTTTCACAGTGGACCGACGCTCTTCCACTCGTCTTACTAGGTATCCGCAATGCAGTGAAAGCTGACATTGGATACACGGCGTCTCAACTCGTTTATGGTACGACACTTCGACTTCCAGGAGAATTCGTGGATCCTTCATCCTCTTCAATGAACATGGATCTAACCTCCTACACGAACAGGCTTACAAACGCAATGCGTTCAGTTAAACCTGCTTCCACCCGACCTCAATCGACTGATGTTTTCGTTCAACCTGACTTACGATATAGTACACACGTTTTCGTTCGTCGAGACTCGCATCGACGACCCTTCGAATCAGCATACGAAGGACCCTTCAAAGTTCTTCAACGTGAATCTAAGTACTATATAGTCGATAAGAACGGAACCAACGATAGCATCAGTATCGATCGCTTAAAAGCAGCGTATTTAGAAGGAAATCCTATCTACGTGGATTTTCCTTCGGTACAATTGAACGACACGACTCCGACACTTATAATACCTCATCCGACAACCAACACACACGATGATACTTCGACAGTATCCGAAAATAAACTTAAAACGACGCGTTCTGGAAGAAGGGTGAGATTTCCAGAACATCTAAACGACTATTGCACGTAAGGCACTTCTCGACATTTTATATTATTTTTAAAAAAAAAAAACAATTTTAATATGCTTATATATTTTTATTTCTATTTAAAAAAAAAACAAAACAAAAAAACAATTTTTTTAACGCTATTACGTGTTCATGAGTTTATTTTCCTTTTTTTTTTCCGCCGACATTGTGCTTTGACGCACATACGAGTGTATTTCGACATGCACTTACATTTTCTTTTTTCTTTTCCAGGACGGCTGGAAAAGAACGATGACGTTTATGAGGATCCGAAATTTTCCATGTACATTTTCTTTTTTTACTATGTTGTACCTCCGTCCCATATAGTAAGGAAAGACGACCAGACGCTGCTAAATTTAGTAAGCTATCAGAAGAGTGTTTACCAACGACAAACTCGTTGGGTTTAAACTTCTGGCTGGCCACGTCTTAGGGTCGTCACTGCCCCACTAGGGGGGGAGTGATCTGTAGCGGTAAATAAATCCCCAAAATAAATAGCACTAAGTTTTCGACATTGGATGCTGACCATATGTTTTAGTGGACTCACCTAGCTGAAGGCGCTCGGTCAGTCATCCGCACCAGATCACGTGTGGTAACGCCGTGCTCAACATCAACCGCAATCGCTAGCCAGATTAGATCAGAGAATTCCGATATATTGGTCATCGCCAAATATACTCTTCCGATCTCCTCGACTCTGTCTTTTGATTTCTCTGGGCGGGAACGAAATATATTAGAAGGTGTTACTGGTAGAAGCGTTGTCAAACACTGAATACCTGTGACATCATCAAGAACAATTGCAAGAATGCAGAGGAGAAACAGAATACGAGTAGACGAAGAAAACAAAAGAAATGATAGATGCAAAGAAACGAAAACGGAATAGTTGCGTCGTTTTTTCCACATATTCCCACAAGAGCATACAAATGGATTCTAATCCGGTATACTGGAAAAATGCAATAATAGAATAATTGTTCTACTCAACTTATGCTGAAAGTGTTTTTGTTAAAAACAATGCTCAATTCTACTTACAACGAAACTGCAACTTTGTCGTGTCACACGTTTCTATCACTGACGTATATTACAGTATTACCTCAAGATATAACAACTGACAACCTAAGTCATTTGACGCTCGGCCTAGCAAACATTTTATGCGTTTCCCTAATAAAATAACGTAAAATTCTAATCATATGTGAAGATGAGTTTGAAACTTCTAACTATTTCGGTTGAAAGTTTGCCGAAAATATGTAAAATCTAACTTCTCGAAGTTTCCTGCTGAACAGTTTAAATGGATCAACGCCCTAACGGATACATCCCAGTGCTTTGTTCGACCTATTTTAAGGCGGTAAGTATAAACGTTTCTCATTTCATATAATTCACTTGGTATATATAGAAACCGACCTGTCGACTGAAGTTATGTACCGTATTTCCATTACTAGATCTCAACACTTGGTGGGAGAGATTCTTCATCAGACTTATCATTATAAGTCGTATACCCTAAATGTTTTTAATATGCATGTGTAAATCTGTAAATTCGCAAGCTACTAATTTTCGGGAAAATTTGGCCCATTTTGAGAAAGCCGCTATAGTAAGTTTTCGGAAAATGAGATCAAACCCCAAAATTTTCCCAAACGTTAGGGAAATTTCCCCAAAACACCCCAAACGTTTCGGTTTTTCCTGCAATACTTATTTAACGCAAAACCTCTACAAAAATCTCTAGACATCACGGAAGAACTAGCGAGAATGCTAACGTACATTTCTTACTGGGATGTTTCATTACTTTTCGTCAATCGCGCATTGTTAAAGAAACTTAATGTTAACCGATTTATCGCGATTATTAAAAGACTGATTTATGACATATATAAATGTTTATTACAGTTAATAAAATTACAAATGATTCGTTTATACATAGTTTTCCACTGCGTTGTAACAGCAACACCTTACGTAGATGTAGAACTGTCATTGATATTGCTCTAAAAAATAAAAAAATCATTTTTAGTGTATAATAAGGTGTCAACATATGTGAAAGGTCGATGATGTACCAACAGTATGACAATGTTGTTAATAATGCGAACAAAGAACTTACAGTTACGTCTGATAAAGCCTGCGAAGCCAGCTGAAAGGAAAACGGACAAGACAAAAGTTGTATCAGTTTAAATATTGAAAGTGCAATATGTATAATAACAAACATGTTAAGTGGTTTTAGTCCACCCTTTCTTTGGATCGTCATCCACGTTTATGTACTTTATCTCTTGCGTCATGCAAGAAAGCCTGGCTTGCTGTAGCCATGGCGTCTATTATTTCCTTTTCCGGGCAGCTTGCACTTCGGAAATGTGAACACAAAGCACCTACAAATATGTTAATACAGTAGTGTGTACTTACTTTGGACCGTCGAGTAAAATTTGTACTTACTAATACCAAATTTACTTCTGGTTCCGTGCAAAGTGTAAGTGTTCGCCAGTTCCTGCGAAAGAAGGTATTGCAGACAGGCTTTCGCTTATTTCCGAGGATCCTCACATAGTAGGTGGTATAATCTTTCCACCTAAAATTTGTTCAAACACCTGTTACAACTTACGAAATGATCCCGGAAATTTCGGTTTTCTGAAGCAGCCTCTAAAGAACGCAACTCCTCATGTATTCTTAATGGAAAAGTGATAGCACCACTATCCTTTTCTTCCATACGCCCGTCACTTACACCCATGGCTAAGCGTTCACATACAGCGATCACTTTATCCATTTTGTTAGACAGTTTAGTGACCGCTTTCAGGATAATTCTGAACATTTGATTTGTATCATCGCACAAACTTTTGTTATCAGGAATACAGCAAATGCAACTTACCGTTTATTAACTTCCGTAGACGAAAAGTTTCCTGTCAAAATGTTGACAACTGGAAATTCCACCGGGGCAAATCCTTGTGCTTTCGTTTGACAGTCCTAACACAAATTATATAATAAGTTAAACAATTTAACTTTTCGGCTTTTCAACTTCACAGGACTGTGTTTCATCGTTTCTGCTATGGTTATTATTATTGTAGCCCAATACTGTTGTTAAACACACTTTGATTTGCTAGGCAACACTGTAGTCGTCTAGAAGCAATAAATGTAAATTGATTACAACTTACTACAACGATGCAAAACGGTGCATTTTCTGACGCAGAATCGAGCAGGACATTGTTTAGGGTGTCGATTTTGGTAGTCGAAAGGATTATCTATGCACCCCTGAAGAACTAGAGGTTGCTGAGGTTGAAGCTGGATTTGCCCCGGTGGAATTTCCAGTTGTCAACATTTTGACAGGAAACTTTTCACCTATTGCAACGTTTGTACCTACTTTATCATTACTCATATAGCAGTTCATCAAATGCTGATGCATCATCACTACTTCCACATACGTCTGCGGAAGTTCATAAATCAGTCTTTTAATAATCGCGATAAATCAGTTAACATTAAGTTTCTTTAACAATGCGCGATTGACGAAAAGTAATGAAACATCCCAGTAAGAAATGTACGTTAGCATTCTCGCTAGTTCTTCCGTGATGTCTAGAGATTTTTGTAGAGGTTTTGCGTTAAATAAGTATTGCAGGAAAAACCGAAACGTTTGGGGTGTTTTGGGGAAATTTCCCTAACGTTTGGGAAAATTTTGGGGTTTGATCTCATTTTCCGAAAACCTACTATAGCGGCTTCCCCAAAATTGGCAGCTTGGGTCATCATTATTCCTGATGTCAGTTCGTGGTAAAAACCCTAAATGGGATTCTCAACCCTAACCATCAACTTTAAATCACAATTAAAAATCTTCACATTGCTTCATTACCCTCGTTTAGTACCTGATAGTAGGTGTACATTCTAAAAGCCATTTTAGCGTTGCCTGAGGTTTTTCATATAGTATTATCTCACCACCCTTTTAAACGATTTCTTATTTTCACTAAATAGGACACTCTACACATCGTAATTTTTCAATACACTTGAGACGTCAGTTAACATTATACATCAACCGTAGCTCCTTTGGACAAAATATTCAAGCTTTTATAGTTGGTTCTTAGGAGCCCATAGAACGTTGTTAATATATCACTAAATCCCTATGTAACATGCCACACTCTTAACCAAGTGGTTTGATCCCCATGGTAGACAAAATATCTGACACTTACTTGCTGCTATTATAAAGATCATTTGTAGCATGAGCGACTGTCTAAAACCTAAAATTGTAAGTACGAAGGTCTTATTTTCGTAAAAAGTCCTTTGCTTTTGCCGAACATGGTACACCGTAGCTATTCAAGCAGTTCACATTCTTGGCTTTGAGCTACCATAACAAAAATCATTACGAACTGACTGTCCAGCAATCTTGAGAATATTGTCTGAGATTTAAGGGATCCAAATACTGAAGTACTTCTTTCCTGTAAAGCGATGTTACGTTTATTACTATGAAAGAATAAGGCCGAGGAAACTGAGAAGCGCATAAATATTTGAGACTGTATTAGTTGAATTTATATTAGACATGTTTTTAGATGCTTTGTTCTCTCCATGGTACGTTTCATATGTGCACTTTTTTACAACTGCAGATTGGTTCGACAAATACGTCAAAAACTGTCTTTCGCTACATGTATAACAGTAATCAGTTAGTTTGGAAAATACATGGGTAAACAAATATTTAAGACTAAGCAATTATTACTAAGTATAGCTGAGATTTACTCAGATACAAACTGCGAACTTTTAAAGTTCTTAGTGTTCTATCAAGGTTAACTGTTCTGAAGGAAAAAAATATATGATGTAATGTTTTTATTTTCCAGAATGACAGTCGACGATTGACGTAGCTCGTAAAATACTCCTTTACAATGCCAGCTGAGGAAGGACGTATTGCTCGCAAATCCACGGTCTCTAAACAAAATCGGTAAGCATCTAGCTTAAATCATGGTTTTTTCAGAAAACAAGTTCGCAGTGTACTAAAAAGCGAGAAGGTACTTCATCGATCAACAAGAAAACAGGTTGTAGAAGTAATTACTCCACCTATCTCTGCAAGGCTTAGAAGTGCTGGTACACGACAAGCATTTGAAGAAACAAATGTTAAGTTGGATAACCTCCTTTTGAAACTGAAAGGTCGTAAATCTGTTACTCATGTGAATCAAATAAAACAGAATGGTACACATCTTGCTTTAATAGTCGAAAGTAATGGAATACCTGATGTATTGAACAACCATAATCCGTCCACTGGTTCCTCGCAGAATGGGACAGAAAATAAAGTCTCAGAAACTCCTGTTCTACAACCCATGACAAGCTCACGTTTTTGTAGCACCATGTAGCAATATTCATGTTTTTGTCCAGCTTTTTTATACTTGTATTTTATTTTTAACAAAATATATTTGTGAGTATTTCATTAATGTGTATAACCTCGATAAATGAAGCATAACGAGCGCATGTGAAGAAGTTAATATGTTTGACTGTGCGTCTTTTAACTAGACCAAGTGCAAACAGACAAGCTAAAAAAAGCTTTAAGGACTATAGACTTTCGTGTAGTTAGGTCAGGGTTTGATATCCTATCGCAGTGTTTTCAGTAACTGCGACAAACAACGTAAGTGCCTTCTCATGGCCGAGAGTGGGGTGGGCCCGCCCTCCCTCTCCAAATGCTCTCACACGGCCACGCGTGTATAGCCTTTGCCAGGGAAGTCCTATTCACTGTCTTCTCGTGGCGGGGATGTTGTCTACGAAAATGAGAGAACGAGAAGCGAATGTCCGGCGCTTTAACCGGATTCCAAATCAATAATGCACATGGGCTCCAGTATCCTGAGTAAACAAATGGCGTATGAACCAATCGTTGGTCACCGGCTACCTTGAGACTGCATCTCTTTACGATGCTCCACTGCGTTGTTGGTCAGACCTTTAGGACAAAAGCTCGCGGTGTGGCCCCCTAAAAAAACCACCTGCTTCGGTCTGGGCAGCCGGGCAGTATCACAGCCCACACACAAATAAAATGAAAATGACGATATTTACTGAGAATTCTATTATCGCTTCGATTTACAATCAAACAATTCACATTATGATTATTATTATTTACTACGTAATTTACTCACATTTATTCCCACTTTACGTATCCTTATTTTTCGACTCATACAGCAGCTCGCTTATGGTGGAAACTCGGTTCTATCTAAACGTTCTCGAGTCACTGAAAATTGTATGCTACTACCAAGTGCGAATACTGACGCAGTTTTTCTGAAACCACGTGCACCATTCAAACTGGCTGCCTTCAACGTTCGCACACTTATGCAGGTCGGACAACAAATAGGGCTAGCTATGTCTTTGGAAAGACTTAATATCAACTTTTGTTGTCTATCCGAGAGCCGTATTCAAGACTCTGGTGGAGTACTACAAATTCGCTCTCCATCTGTCGCTTCAAAAAGCTTGTTTTATGTGCTTTCTTCGGGGGCCCTGTGGCATCTTCGTCTGGTCTTGCTGGTGTTGCACTAAGCGCTAGAGCTAAGGCAGCACTAATCGATCGGATCCCCAATAACAGTCGGTTATGTGCTGTTAGTTTAGAAAGTTCCATCAAAGTGAGAAGAAATCGGCTTGAAAAACGATATATTTTCGTCATCTCCGCCAATGCCCGGACAGATTGCAGCCCGGATGCAATCAAGGATGAATTCTGCCACCAGTTAACTGTTCTCCTTCAGAAAGTGAACCCGACAGATTTTGTAGTGCTAGCCGGAGACTTGAATGCTCAGGTCGGGCGTCTGGGCACAAAAGAGAGTCGTTTAGATGGCCGATGGGGACTTGTTGGTTGCAGGATAGATAACGGAAACCGTCTACTGCAACTGTGCACAGACCACAACCTGTTCCTGACTAGCACTAACTTCCGGGACAGTCATCGCCGATGTACCACCTGGCGTCCTCCCTCTGCATCCCAAGCCTGGACTCAGATTGATCACATCGCGATCAGCTACCGCTAGCGTGGTTGTGTACAAGACTGCCGCTCCTTTTGGGGTACCTATCTGGACTCTGACCATGCCTTGGTCTGCGCCAATCTTACCTTACTTATCAGTGGACAACGAAGTGACCGCCACCAAAGGATTGATGTCAGCAAGTTGGTTATAACTTCTGTTGCAAATAAGTATCGAACCGAGCTAGTTTCTAGGCTAGCTACCATTCCACCGAAAAGTATAGATGAGCATTGGTTGCAATTGCACGACGCCATGAAAATGGTGGATACAGTCAGTTGTGGGTTCGCGAAACGTCTTGCTTATAAGCACTGACTTTCTTCTGCTTCCTTACAACTCATTGAAGCCCGTCGGTCTACTCCGGGTGACCGTGAGTTTGACCACAAACGAAGGATGTTACGTAGTGAAATTGAGCAAAGCTTGCGTAAGAATCGAGAAGCCTGGTGATCGGAGCGTGCTAATGAGCGTGAGGCAGCAGCTGTGTCTAGCAACTACCGGAAGCTATTTCAACTCATCCGAGCCACTGGCAGCAAGAAGTCTGGTGTGTGCGAAACAATCTGTGAGGATGACGGGATGCCAATCACTAACATCCATCGACGTCTCGGACGATGGAGAGAATTCTTCGAAGGGCAGTTCACCTGGCTTACTGCTCAGACTGTCCTGCCCTACATGGCTGGTGACCAAATGACGCGGAAGTGCGCGAGGAACTCCAACGCTACAGATCACTGGGCCCAGATTACACACCTCTAACTCTTTTTAAAGATGGTGGTGACTTTCTGGTTAAGGAACTGACGACGTTGTTTACAAAGGTCTGGGAGCTAGAGTGTTCCAACGTCATGGAATGTGTCGATAGTTGTCCCTATCTTCACGTCGTTCCTGTAACAACTATCGGGGGATAAGTCTACTTCCGATTGCGTCCAAGCTATTGGCTTCCGTCATACTTCGTAGGTTGTTCAAAACCCGATAAAGATTGACTCGCGAGAAGCAGGCTGGGTTTCGTTCTGGTCGAGGATGTATTGATCATATCTTCACCCTCCAACAAATGTTAGAACACCGCCATACTTATCACAGGCCAACAATCGTAGTGTTTCTTGACATCAGGGCTGCCTTCGATTCGTTGGACAGGACTGTTCTCTGGGATTGTCTATTGAAGAAGGGTGTGCCTGAGAAGTTTATTAACATCCTAAAAGCCCTATATACAAACACCTCAGGCAGAGTGAGGGCATACAACCACCTCACTCCATTCTTCCATTCGAGCAGTGGGGTTAGACAGGGTTGCCCAATCTCACCATTCCTCTTCAACTTTGCCATCGATGACATTCTGGAAGCAGCTCTGATGGATGTAAGTGATGGTGGTGTGGATCTGTTCCCTGGAGAAAGACTTCTCGACCTTGAGTATGCGAACGATATTGTCTCACTGTGCGACAATGTCCAAGTCATGCAATCCACGCTTGATCAGTTGGCAATCAATGTTCGTAGGTACGGTATGTGCTTTGCACCTTCGAAGTGCAAAGTACTTCTACAAGACTGACAGGATTCTAATCCTGTACTCACCCTGGATGGTGAGCAGATAGAAATGGTCGAGAAGTTCGTGTATCTGGGTAGCTACATAAGTGCTGGTGGTGGTGTGAGTGATGAGATCAATGCACGAATAGTGAAAGCCAGAGCGGCTTATGCCAATCTGGGCCACCTTTGGCGCCTTCGTGATGTTAGTCTGGCTGTAAAAGGTCGGATCTACAACGCGTCGGTGAGAGCAGTTTTGTTCTATGCCTGTGAAACCTGGCCTCTCCGAGTTGAGGACGTTAGACGACTCTCTGTGTTCGATCATCGCTGTCTCCGGAGGATTGCTGACATAAAGTGCCAATGTGGTGTGTGCTACTTGTATAGGCATAAGTAGTATATGTTAGTCGTGAACAGGTCTGACAGCAGAGACAAGAGGATTGAACAGTAAAGAATGGAAACAGGATGCAATTTGTATGAAAATGCAAGAACAATGAGGTCTAAGTCATCTTGAGGCAATTGGTGTGCATTTTGCAAATTAAGCATTTATTTTATGATTGTTAGATTTTAGTAACAGGTCCTGTAATTTTGTGTTAAATGCATCCGATTGTACCCACCCGTATTTTGTTCACTACAGCGACACCATTTCAGTAATGCAGAGGTTCGGCATCGTGTGTTCGGGCACAGAGACGATAATGCAATCGATGTCACCATCTTGAAACACCGACTTCGGTGGCTTGGACATGTTCTACGAATGTCGTCCCAGAAAATTCCATTTCGTGCATTATTTGCCGACTCTGGGACTGGTTGGAAAAAGCGGAGAGGTGGTCAATGTATGACATGGTGTCGTGGCATGAAAGAAAACTGCAAAGGACTTGCTTATGTTAGTCCTTCATGACTCAGTGGCTGGGGTCCGAGAGATGGTGCGACACAGTGGCTAGAGACTTTATCAGATATGGCTCAGAATAGAAGCCAGTGGCGATCCTGCTGTATCCTTTTACTTTCTTCATAAAAAGTGGTTGTATCTTCCTTAACTGAAAGATTTTTTCTAGTTATACCTTTCCGTTTCCCCCATTATTATTATTACACTACCTTACACTAATCTGGTCGTTATTGTTCTTTTTTTCTCTTCCCATTCTCATTGTTTTGTGTGGTGCATATATATTTGGTGCCCTCTTGTAACAATATTTATGTGTTCAAATAAATAAATAACGTAGGTTTTAGCAATTCGCGGACCAAATCTTGAGTGTTTGTCAGAAAATATCACAAACCGATTCCCGTTGAGCATAATATTTCGTAAATAAGTTTTCGAATGCACTAAGGATATTGAAGTAAATCACCTAAATACATAAACAGCTTGAATAAGAATAGATACTAAGATTAATGAGAAAATTATGCAGAACTAAAAAAACTTTGAATCAATTCTCAGCTACAATTTATATCCTCAGCAAATTATCTTTCCTAGGCTGGTAACAAGAACAATATGCAAATAATAAATTTCATGACCAAAAGCTTTGTCAGAATGTAGTTTATTACAATTCGAACATAACTTTTACCAACAGTCTGTCAAGATCTTGAGTTTTGCTCAAGGTAGGTATGTGACTGACTTTTGAGCCCTATATGAAAGTGCTCTTGTTATTTCTACTTAGAATTACGAGGAATATGTTATTACCCAATGTACTGTATTAAGAAACCCGCATTTAATCAGTTCTCCAATCCGGGAGTTGTATACTGTGTTTTGTGAAGTCGATTAGAACACGTGTACATGTATAACTAGACAATAATTATATATACTGTGCATAATGAAACGGAAAGTTATGTAGACAATGGCGCATCGGCGAGTTCCAAATTCCTGAATTTTTCTGCATCGTAAAATCCAGCCTTCACGACACGTCCAGCGAAAAATCGGCCATTTAAATCGAGTACCGCTATAAAAAAATAAACCAGCGATGAATATTGAAAAAGCGGGAATTGTATAAAAGTGACAATGGTAAAAAATTAGAACCACAAAACTTTCTGCTAGACAACGCTGCATAAGTAGGAGTGGTTGCGTAGTTGTCAAATAATTCACTTTTAAGCTAGTAGTTTGTTGGTTCAAATGTATTTTCCTCATTAGTTCACACAAGTGTGTTTTAGGACTGGATCTGTGGGCCTGCCCTTGAGTTGAAAATTATGAATTACATCAGAAGCCGTGTTTATTTTCAAAAGTGTAGCTTGCTGTTGTCTTAAATCAGTTGAGTTAAAAATCCTTTTATAAATAGGTAGTTATTCACGGGCTGATTTCAGTTATAGAGCTACTGCGAACAAGGATAACCTGGACAGCTATTTCGTCCGAGTTTTGGACCAGTCAGTAGTGTGCTTTCAACATTACTAAGTACTGGATCCATGACTTTCAGAGAAAGCCCAAGATTTAAACCGTTGAGTTAGTATCTAGCGTTTTGCACTTCCAACTTAAGTCAATTAGTGATGTTCCGCGCACCCGACCCGCTGCTGTTGGTGAAATTTGTGTCAGCCCATCATGGCTGAACTCCTGTGATCACAGCTGTCACTAAAGATCCAGGAACTAAGCCCATCACAGAAAAGTACGAAACAGCTGTTCAGTACGTTTTTGTTTCTTCCCAACAGTACTGTAACTGAAACCAATCTGTGATGTTGAATTTGGAACTCAACGATCTCTACAAACTCAGTGATAATCTATCATTTATAAACATTTAATTGAGGCAAAGAAGTTCGTGCATAAACTGTATTGTATAATAAAATTTTCGTTGATGCCATAACAGTCGATTTTAATTGAGATTATAAACTAATCACTAAGATCATTCAAAATCACAGCGATGTTCCAACAAACTAGTACCTCTATACATTTTATCAGCGATTGTACGGGTTAAGTGATCTGTCTCACGAAAATATTTTGACACCGACAAAAAGCGGACTCGCTGTTTAAAATGACTTCAAATGGCAACTAGTTATTCACATAAAAGAGAAAGACATTGGTAACATGCTGGAAATTTACAGAGATTAATGAATTCTGAGATCTTTTCCTCTTAAAAATACTTGGTTAAATAGTACGCAAATTAATACATTATTACGTGAATATGAATGAATACAAACGACAGAAAAATGATACACGACTGGAACTACCACTTTTTCAGAATATTGAGAAATCAACTCTGTATGAAAATATATGCACATTAACACTTACCTTTCGTTGCTGCTTCTTCAGATTCGAATTCCACAAAAATACGAACTACTTCATCATCTGGAGCTTCAGGCAATTCATAAATCATACACATTACTACTTTGCCATATTTAGCACATTCTTCAGCTGTTTCGGGTTCTAGATCATCATCAACTTCACCTGGTCCACACATATTACGTAGAAGAATAACCTAAAAACCAGAAATACAGATAATCTTTAAGCCGTAGATTCTACGTATGAGGAGTAGGAACCATTTATGTTAAAGAAAAACTATACTTGAACTACTCAAATATAAGAGGTAAAAGATGTAAAAATGTATGACTTTATTATTCAACTATCCAACTGTTTTACATAAAATAAATAATTAAAATGTAACACTAGAAACAGTGACCAGAATGTGTTAACTAAAGTATAATTCCTATTTATCTTTGCTGGACATTGAAAATAAAAACCTAAATTAGACTAGAAAATATTTTCATTCCAACAGTTGTTAAAATGAAAGTGAAAAAAAGCCTTGATACACATTGTTTTATTTATACAACATGGAGGTTTTCTTTTACCACTGTATTTTTACTAAAACCTTACAAAATATTTATATTGAATATGTATATCAAAATTAAAACATGAAAAATTCAGTATGTGGACAAATACTTTGTCGATCTACAAAAAGCAACTAATTTGAAGGCAGGTAGTCGGTGCAGTATTTGGCTAATTTTACATGAGTAGATTGTATTGGGAAAAATGAGGATAATAACACCAAAGGATAGGAAATCAATTAGAGTGTTGAAACTACTTTATACTATTATCGACCCTGATACTTGATATTACATATTCTTGAAATATTTTGTTTAGAAAAAATTTCACTTTCAATAACAAGGTGGTTCATAATATTTTAAATGTGTAACATGAAAGCAAAAGCAACACGCCTCAGACTTAAAATCTTGGTAAGAGAACTATGTTTAAAACTGTTATACGAAGTTTTAAAAATAAACCGACAGAGCCACTTGTGGAGCTAGAGTTTCACTCAATAGCAGTAGATACATTTACTATTTCGAAAGTAACTATCACTTAAACAGGGAAAAATAGGCTGTGAAATTTATTTTCCTAGAGGATTATTTATAATTATTCACTAAATGATACATTCATTCGATACGAGAATGTCTATAACTTACGCAGCTTCGATTCTCTGGAAGTGGTAGATTATTGAATGTCTCTTCTACATTTGCACTTAAATAACTAGGTAGATTATTATTATTAACAGCAGAAGCATTGACTTGGATTTGTTGACGTTGTTGATCTTTTTCATGAATTATCTTGCCACCACGTCGACTAGTTTTTTCAACAACTAATGCAGTGGACATTCCTTGACTTTCTCTACCTAGACCTTGTCCTTCTCGATATCCCATTCGAGCCATCATTTTCGCTGCAACAACATTACTATTGAAAATAAAAAGTTCAGTGAGAATAAATAAACACGTCAATAGTTGTCATTTAAGGATGTAGAACACAAACAATGAGATATTACATACTGATTAGAAATAATGGAAATTAAACAACAACGTAAATTTAGTGATCATTAAGTGCCAGTTAGCTGCATTTTCATCACATTTATTAGTCATACTTGATATCTAAATCAAATATTACAACATAGTACTGTATGGTAGCAAATGATAATTCGCTAAATGCTTAAACAATCCAAATAACTATATACTTTGTTATAAGACGTCAAATATCAACAGTAGATCTCGATTGAAGTCCAATCAACTGTCCAGTCAGTAAAAACAGAGAACCAAGACGGACGTACATCGGCTCATGTTATCATTTCCCATTAGTGCATCGAGATGAAATTACCAGGCTAAATACCAGAATAGTATAGGTAGTAACAGTATCAATGGGAATAGGAAAGATTAGGCATCGAAGATACGGTTCGAAAAGAAAATATAAATTAGAGAGGTGAAAACAAATAAAAAGATTTTGAGAAATTCGTAATTTGAGGGAAAACAAAGAACAGATGTACAGGAGCCATTGCAAACGATTTTGAGCCATGTCCTTCAAAGTCACTAACTATTGGGTACGATGTGAGAGAATGTTATTGTTAATCTTTCCCTGCCTTGGTGACAAATATTCTTCCGCTGCAGCTTAAAATTTTTATTTTTTATATTTATTACGTCGTTGATTTTATTTTTTCAAGTATCTTTAGAAAAAAATTAATAATCTTTCAAATGAACTCTACTCACTATATTCCTATCAATTGTTTATTCATTATGTAATCAATTGTTTCTAACCCTTTTGAACTGCTGTCACGATTAATGCTCTAGAATATTCTTTCACATCATGTATATATTTACAATATTCAACCTATTAATTTCATTTACACCCATGTCATATTTTACGAATATTTCTTCAATATAAACCCTATCATGTAAGCAATTTAAACCCATCATGTAATTATTATCTTTTTAAATACCACAGGTTGTAAGCAGCCGACGAGAACCTACGAAATAAAATGAATTCATGTTATTCTGCTAGAATCTTTGTTCTTGCTCTTTTCAAAATGAAAAAGAGAACTATGTGTACCAAATATGATCTATTTGATTGTCCGTGTTGTGGTCCGATGAGACCCATGTAGCTTTGTGTATGCGTTTGTGGCGGAATATTGTGCCGCCTGTAACAAATTTGTTGAATGCACATAAATTTGCAAATTTCTCGCCATTTTCGTTTCTCTCCCAGTCCATGTCGTCCCATGATATCCTCATAACCAGTGTTGTCCATTCTGACTTTGACGTTTAGATCTCCCATTAAGATAATGAGATCTTTTCCTGAATACTTCTCTATGATCGAATGAAGTCTCGAGTAGAACTGATCTTTATCGTCGTCATTGCTATCATTGGTGGCTGCATAACATTGGATAACATTTGTTGTGATTACCTGCTTCTTTGTTTTGAAGGATGCTTTGATGATCCTCGATCCATGAGTGCCATTACTGCTTCTTTGGACAGCATCTTAGCTTTCATCATGAGGCCTCATATTTCTTCCTACAACTTTCGGGGCAGAGTTTAAACGGTTTAAACTTTTTATTCTGGTAAGCGTTCTTTTTTAGCACGGCTGTTTTCTACGGGATGTGTTTGCAGACCTCATGCCCAACCCCCCTCTTTTACTGATATTTGTGACCGGCAGCAACCTTAGAAGAGCTACAGGCGGAGTTATTTGATATGTAAACACAGTAATTTTTAAGGAATCAGATAAAACTATATTAAAGTAAAAATGGTCGTAATGGAAACATGACATGGATGAAAACAAGTAAGCCTGAGAAAAATGTCCTAAGTTCGTTGGACTGACAAGACCGATATCTAACAATCGTTAGCATCTTCAATGAATCATAATAATAAGAGCGAATTATCAGTTCATCTACTAGATAAATACTTCACCGCCAGAGGATATTTAAGAAACTAAGATTCAAACTTTTATTGGTGAACAACACCTATTGATACATGTTATTACTTTAAGCTGGTAAATAAAACTAAAGGCTAAAATATGTTACTCCAAATTACAACATTGTTTGAATAAGATTAAGAGGTTCAAAAGAAGTTCAAAAATGTTAATAAGAAATGTTCATAAAATCCAATAAATAAAAGGAGCTGATCGGTTTGATTTAAATTTTTCTTGCGATCTATCTATCGGTGATTTATGATCTTACTAAGTTACATTTAAATATTCACAAACATACATACTTTATGATTAAGGTACCAAATAAAACTTAGTTACGAAAGTATTTCATTTAAGATACTATTTTAAACATAATGATTTATTTGAACACATTTCTAAACACAGTATATATATATATATATATATATATATATATATATATATATATATATATTGTTGTGACTCCAAACCAAACTTTCAAAGTATTTCGAAGATTAAGATTATCATAATATTTGCTAAATGTAATCAGAGATTATGTAATCTTCACAAAAATCTATCAGATATAAATGACATGCAACATTATATTCTATTCAGTCAACAAAAATTTCTGTACAAATCCGATTAGATGAAATAAAGAAATTATACATTAGAGTAAAAATCATTATCCTACATGAAATTATTCGCAATTCTTATCGCAGCAATAAAACAGATGTAATCAAAATAATACTTGAATAATTTATTACATAACAAAAGCTACTCTCCACAAAAGTACACAGAATACAACTTCCATTGCTTATAAATAGTAAGGAATGACCAATTGATATTGGACAGATATTATTACATATTACTGACAACCTATTTGTGGTAGTAAATGTAATAGAAGTAATTATAGTAAAAATAAATTTGATAATTATTTAAATGAAATTAGAAGTAGACATTCTGGTAGTTTTCTGTTAAGAATATTTGATCCACATAATCATTAGTTTTAAATAAATAGAAACCAAGTTGATTAGATATTTTTTTCCTTTTCTTTAGTCAATTAAGTCGATAAATAGCAAACACTCGCTTGTTATTAATCCGAAATGTTCAACAGTGTTATTAAACAGATAATATATAAATGCCAAGAATTGTTGACTGAATTAAATAAGTTTTCCCAGAGAATGTATACGAGAACCAATCAATTGGAAACGTAAAACAGATAGTTCCCTTCATAGACTCATAGAATAAGAACAACAAACATTTTGGGATGAAGTAAATTCATTTCATTTAGTATGTTTTAAATCTTCCATCAAAGTACTTGCGTTTCCTAATAAACGCTTTAACCAGCGAAAACGATAATTATTACCACTAATATTATGATCAGTTTACTATTGCTTTTTGGCAATTACTATTACGTATATCATTCTATTTGTTACAACTAAAACAATTTGTATGAGTCTTGCGGTTGATTACGTTACAGTCCTTCGCTAAATTCTTCTGCTCATTTTAAAGTTGAACGCTTATGAATATGTAGAGTGATTTTAGTGGAGTTTAGTTCACTGAGTAGATGATTTGATCGTGGAGCTTTCATTGTCCTTCTGAACAACATCATCAGCACAAACTTCAGATAGAAGTGAAGTATTCAGATTTATTCACTGATGACTAACAGCTTGTTCTGTCGACCTCAATCTTGATTGGTTAGTGCTGATGTTGCGCAGTAAAACAATGAAAGCTCCTAACATCGAGCACAGTGAACAAAACTCCAATAAATCATCCATCTGAGCAACAAATCTTCACCACAATCTCAAAGTGATTTTAATTATACTTCAGTGGTTAACTAAATGAATTCATGCATATTACACACAAAATCACATTTATAAAACATTTTATTTATTTATGCAAATCAGTCGCTATGTGGAGGATTTAAAGCACATGAAATAAATCCGACTGATCTCACAGTGTTTGTTGTTTTTGCTTTACAGCAAGAAATGGTAATATAGTCCAATATAGAAGTTTTACGCAGTAAAATAAACACATGGTATACAAACATTAAAGTGTCGCAGTAAAAGGTGAGTAAAATCAAGTATAATAAATTGCACAGGATAAGTTAACGAAAACATACATTCCAAATTTACTACTAGCTGTGCTAACTCCAGGGTCATCATCATTAACCGACGATTCAGAGTTTTGTGATGCATTTGAACCAGGAGTAACAGTTACATCTTCGAGTAAAACAGATGGAGGTGCAATAGCAGCACCCTTTGTTGGTTGTGAAGAACTCCTACCGGAAGCTGCAGTATATTCTGTATCTTCGTCATCTTCTTCATCTGAATACTCATAACGACGACACATTCCGGAAGGATCATTCATACCAAATGGATCCAGTCGATGGTGTCTGTCTGCAAGCGCTGATTCCTAAAAAAGGCAGATACATGAAAAAATAATTAAAGTGAAGTATTAAACACTGGATGTATAGTTTTATTTTTAAAAAATCTTGAAACTATGCATTATATATATATATATATAATCATTCTGGAAATAATTACAGCGCACATGCATATTTAAATGCAAGGTCAGAATGATATGGAAAGTAATGTCATACGTAAAGGACGAAATATATAAGGTTAGGTTGATTGAAAAGATACGATTCATAAATTGTTTTGAAAGGACATTTGTTACAGAGATCATAATAATGTCAGACAGTAATCGTGATTCGGATATCCTGTAAAAGTATAGATATTGTGCCACAATTCCAAATACATACCCAAACAATCCAGTCATTATGAAGTTTGATGGCTATTTATATATGCAATCATTCTCTCACTAATGGATCTAATAAACAGAAAGTTCTTTATTGTTTTGCATTGCTACTGTTTAGCTATTTATAAAAGAATTATGAAGAATTAATGAAGAAATAGTTCATTTTAATGATGTTTGTAAATTCATTATTCTTTTAGGTGAAAAAAAGGAATAAAAATACCAATAGAATATCACTTAATCATTTGCATAGAAGTCATAATAATTAGTAGACTTAATTTTATAGATCACATAAGTATACTGAAGATAATCTACAAACTGATAAAGAGTTTGAAGTTTTAAATTTCGAAGTCAAAAATTTTCGTAATAGTTCACAAGTTAAAAGGGGAATCATAACATATATATTTCTCCTCAGGAAAAATGTAATTTTAATATTCAACATTTTGCCAAACATGATTTTTATGATGCGACCGTAGAGATTGAATCATATACTTATGACATGGTATTTTCTTCCTGCTGTCTTTCAAAAAATTCACTATATTTGTTATACTAAACTAATATGAACAGCCTATTATTTGTAAAGATGGAATATTTAAGAAATATATTCGAATAGGGAATTGATCAATATTTACACAAAAGTAATGTAAAGATGGAAAGTTTCTTTGCGACATTACCATTTACTGGAACTGTGTAATCCTAGTATAAGTGATTTACCAAATAAAATGTTTTTTTCTCTATCTTAGTATTTTTTCTCTTACCCTTAGAGCATTATATAAAGTTTCGGTGAAGCTATTCAAACAATTTATAGTATAAACTTTTTATATTTTTCAACAGACTGTTATACTCTTAAAATCATTAGAAATACTATTATGCAGGTTTAATAAGTAATATCATCAAAAAATTGAGAAAAAATAGTTTGTCAAATTGTCTTGAGGTCTTCTTCAATATGATAAGGGGAATTTCTCTGTCTTAAAATAGATTATGATAAAAAGAACTAAATCCTTCGAAATCTGGATAATATTTACAATTAGACCTGGGATAATTAATTACCTCAGCACGTCTACGTTCACGTTTAATTCGAGCTAATTCTTCATATTCATTAGGAATCATGGGATTATATTCATCCATCACACCCAAAGGTAGATTTGGTTCACCAAATAGTAAACCATTCGTCATAGCTGTATTGGAATATTTCAACGAACGTTTAGATTTACCTCCACTGCTTCCCGAAACACATCGTTCTAATCGTCCAGTCAATTGATTAAATCTAAATGGTCATCAACATTTAATTAAAGTGAATATACAATATTAACTATAGATAAGGAGACATGAAAAGGGATATTAGTAAGGATGACCATCACGAGCAATCATAAAACTAATGTTAATTCATAGCAAAACCAACCATTTTTGTAAAGTTAGAAAAGATTGATAGCAAACAAAAACATTATAACGATATTTACTTCCCTTAATTGTTTACTACAGTGACGTCACAAAATATGGGTTTGAGTAATACATACCGTTTTTGTACTGATGCTCCCTGAACAGATTAGTTTCAGTTAATGCTCTTTTCTTCTGATATAACTTGTCTTTTGAAATGCATGATTTATCGATCACTTATGAGAACTTGTAAATCTAATTTGCGCTATTATTTGTTGAATATGAAGAAGAGTACCACGGCGAAGTTTGTTTACATAATCACAACAGTAGCAAAAAAGTGTTTTGTAGTTTCTGCTTACATTATTTTATTTACTCAGTTTTTCACACAAATCGTTAAGTTGGTTAGTATCCCAAAAATTGCAATATATATATATATATATATATATATATATATATATATATATATATAATCATTTAGGGAGGCAAATGTTTGATTTGATTTCAAATGCAATTTTCAATGTACAAGTGAATTCCTACTTATTTACGTAGATAGTAAATTTCGGATTTAATTAACTTATTTACATTAATTGGAGAGTCATAACAATTACATAGTGATTCACTCGAAAAAATACAGGCACTTTAATATTCTTTCAAAAAATAACAGTGAAAGCTAATTAGTTACATATTATTAGAGGTGTTTTGGAAAAAAGAACACATGAAAAATGTTTCTATGTTAATGAATTAACTAGAAACATGTGAATAATTGAACAGGTTAGTTAAAAAGTTATGTATATGTATGTACATATTTTCCTTTCATAAGGTTATCAAAATAAAAAAGCTGAACTACACAACATATTTTACAGACTCCAATCAACTAGAAAAACGTGAAGTTTTAGGTCTCTCAGTGCATATTAATTACCATATTTATGTTTACTATAAGTTATCATGGCATCCTAACGTTTATTACTATTAGTATATATATATATATATATATATATATATATATATATATATATATATATATACTAATAACACACTTATGAATATAGGACAGATTCTTAATTTAGTTTTATACAGTTGTAAGGACATTAAATAAATGGATGAATTGTCAAATAATCATGAAAGGATACGATAAAGGCGTCAGAAAAAAGGTTCAAACTATAAACGTTGTTAAATAAGAAAGATTAGTTTAACGAAGAGTTTTCTTTTCGGCGAATTCATTTTCAAAGCTGTACAATCGCAAATAAATATACTTATTTTTCGGGATGATAATAATTACAATAATACTGATAATGAACTTCTGTTGAACATGATGAAAGTGAGGTAGAATAAACAAAGGTTCCTTCAAATAAACTTCCGGTATTCCGATGGTAATCTTATTATTATTTATGTAACTGCAGATAAAACTGATGGTCTCTGTGAGTGGAATATTAGTGTTGTCAGAAAAAAAAAATTTTCTGAATAATTTAACAATTATTCGAAATCCGCACAAAAAATAATATGAAGAGGATTTTTAGTATTACAGTTGGTACATGCAAAAGAAACACTGATAATTATTAATCTATCTACATACTGTTTTAATAAGATTATTAAACTGAAGAAAAACTATGAACCTGATACTTTAGAGTAAGACTAATGATATGTAATTAATTAAATCAACATAATAAATGGAATGATTAAAAAATAACACTCATGATACCCATCTAACAATATCAAAGCATTTAAAACGGAAACAATATTGAAGGGAAAATGAAGAGAACAACTGAAAGTATTAAAACGAGAAAAGAAACATGGATATATAAGTGAATAAAATATATTTCCTACCAGAAAGCGTCTTAATAAGAATCTTATGTATATGTACATATACATAGAACGAGCTCTAGGTGACATTCGATTACACAACCAAATAAAAAATGTCTATTATTAATGTTAGTTACCTAGCAGTGTAATATACTTGACGTTGATAATGTCTAAGTTTCTTTCATTGAAAATAAAGGAAATAAGCACATAAACAAGCGTATCATATTTCACACAAAATTAATCATGGTATCGACTTTAAGTAAAAAAAGTAATCACAGTCCCTAAATGACAGAATTTTAACAAGTTACGATAAAACAGTGATATTCTCATTTAATGAAGAAAAAGAAAACATTAGTATTACTTCCGTTCGCAAGAGCGCAGAATTAAGTAAGCAATAGCTGGGTAACTTTAAACAGTAATAATCAATTTTGAGAGGAAGGTGGTAGGTAACCGGAAAAGCAGGTAGATGTACAAGATAAGAAAATAGTGCAAAAATATTTTATCCAATCCAGAGAAGCCTGAGAAATACGTTGACAATAATTTTAGACTATTAGTCTTTCAATAGGTAGATAAATCATCAAATATGGGTATTTTCATTTCCTTTAAAAGTGACTTGACTATTTATATCTTATTTTGAGGAGGACGTATTGAACGATCAATTGTTATTCAACAGACTATCAATAACAAACTGAATGACAGAGAACTAGTGCTTTTAGCAATGTTTCTGTAGCCTTACGTATATTCATATCACCATTTATCGAACAGTTGTGAAAATATCAACGTGTTTTATTTTCCTGAGGTTATATTTACAACCAGATGTTTTTAGGCAGAATAATTTTATATATAGAGAATATAATAAGGACAAATTCTCTATGTTCAGAGATACTCAGTCACAGATTTCGAATGTGGTTATCCTTAATTTGTTGACTGCCATTTTACTATACAACTGTTCAGATTAGCTACTAATGAAAATACAAATAGTAGTTACGCACAATAATTAACAGCATAATCAGTGTTCTACGAGGTTTAAATTAAATCTACTCACGATTTGGCTTTTGGATTAACTTGGAGTTAAATAAGTGCGTCGAGATTATTACGAAGAAATTTTTGAAGTCGAAAATATCAAACACTTAATTGTTATCGCCGTCTTTATTACTTAAAATGAATAACATAAATGATACTTAAAATTCCTCTTCATTGGCTGCCAAAGACGTCCACTATAAGTACCTATTTACACAGTACAGATTTTTTGAATTACAAGCAACTGTAACATACTTCTGAAACACATAATCTAAATAGCAGGTAGTTGATAACATCAGTCACGTGGAAACAAAAATAAATACAACAAATAGTTTACGAATGGGTCGAAAACAAACAATATGAGGATAAAATATGAAATGAAGTCCGTAATAGTAATAGTAAGATGTTTGCTAGATTATTTCTCATTTCGGTTTACAGAGAAAACTGTTTATGTATGGAAAAATAAAATAATAATTGATTATCCCACTTTCCATTACTTTGGATTTTTTTTAATTTGTTTAGGAGATGTCTCAAAATTTCAGTGTAAAATATTCTTTATTGTCTAGAACACTGGATAGTAACAGGTTCACTTTTGATGAAATAAACTGTTATAGCCCAAAGCCACCAATCAGAAGCAGCGAATTTTCGACAATATTCAACAAGTAGCATTTAACACATATGTTGATCAGTACGGATTAATTGATCAGCTAGATATATTACTAAATTAACTAGGTATTTCGTAACAACTTCAGTAAGCCAACATAAAATTATTGATTATGAATAAATAAATTAAACTTCTTAACTTAGGTGATTGCAAAGTTCAGAGCCTAAAATATTTTTCAACCGATAAGTCACAATGAATCGGTTAAGATTCAAAAGCAATTTAATGTACAGAGCACACAACACTTACCGTCTAAACATCAAAGGGTGAAACAAAATAGTGAAATATAATGGAAACATTTATTTGAAAATGAAGTGGTCTTACAGCGACTATTTAAATCAGTAAAACATACTCATCTCAGTGTGACGGGTATACATTTTCACAAAGTGGGATGAACCAGCTGTTCAGGGTTACTTGGTTTCCAATAGCACCACATTAGGAATCAGTCAGTGACGAATACCTGATACAGATTTGCTTGAAGAACTTATACTATATGTTTATATCTATAAAGTTCAACCGTATGATAAATAATGAATAGTTTCTGAACCAAGAATGTAAAGTAGGTTTAACCATATGAGTTGATATATTTTTGAAGTCGAATGAGTAGTTCACACAGTTATTGTTTTGTCTTATCAAAGAAATAAAATCATTAATTTTAAAAATGTAAGCACCTTTTAGTCATACGTAATAGCCGGTTTTTCTTATCTATATAAATCAGTCATAATCGATGAGCATAAATAACTACGTACATTAATAAATATTTATTATTTTAACGTAATATAATAATATCGGCAAACCTGCTTACATGTTATATATAGGGCTAAAATGAAATATCAGTTTAATAATAAAAAATAACATAGTATAGTGATTCATACAGAAATCAACACGGGAATTGGCTATTGTAGATGGGTTTCATGTGATTTAATGTGACCATAACACGTTATTGTTTATCGATAAAAATACATATGTTGGATTGTTGAAATTATGATAAAAACGCCCTGTTTCCAACATTAACCCAGGGTTTCGAGCACTGCAACATCGAGATAGGTTTGGGCACATATGTAGACTCACTAGTCAACACAAGTGTTGTTGATTAAAGCCCATAAACATTTCCTCGGTAAGTAGGCCATTAGGGACCAAGCCAACAGTTAGTGACTTCATAGACTACTTTCAAATTATGGTTTGGTCACCGATATATTTCGTTAATTGTACATCGGGGTTATCCAGGATTGCTCAAAGAGAAAAGCAGAGGGTGATAATACACAAAACATTTCCCAGCCACTTAGTAGACGAAGATTTAAAGTCACCAACTCTTCTGCCATAAACGAGCAATGTTGCACTATTACGCTGATGTTCTACTTTGCTGTAACTGCCTATGTGAACGTTGATGTCGGATTAGATTATATTTAGATTATATTTACTCAGAGGGTTTCAGATAATTAAATAAGTCCGACTACACAACATTTAATAATTTAGTATACTTTTACAACCCAATCAAGTTCACATATCACTCTGAAATATAAGACACTGTACCGATATCATGAAATATAGGTAAAAATGTATCTGACATAGATACAATGCGATATAACTGAAACATCTAAGTGAAATTGAGAGAAACTGGAGATTTGACATATTTAAATATCATTGTCATCATGAAGAGCATTCAAAAAAGACACTATTATAACAAATAACTTATAGTTAAATGTTTCATCAATTGGGAGTATAGACAACAAGTAAACATCATAATTATCCAAATTCCAATTAGTAAGTTTTAAAGGTTTTAAACAAATAAACTGGTTTCTTGACATTCAAAATTACTGATGAACAACCGTCGAAATTTTATTCTTCAGAATGTATACATCACATGTATAACTGATGATAGATTAAGCAAAATGTTTTCCAAACTAGACGACATGAAAAATTTTATGACTGTGTATTGGGACTAGTAGTTTAATTAATAAAGATTTTTCACTGATATTGGCACTATTACAACTTTCTCAGGATGGATTCAACATATCACAATTTAAAAGAACATTCACAAAAGTCAATTAGGTGATTGGTTAACAGATTTGATGTGAGGAGATTTACTCTTACACGAAGGTGATTGAAGTGTGATAGATTTACACTCACGAAACTTGTACACGTGCTTAGTAAGAACAAACTATTAATTCAAAAAGACCAGATAGACTTTTTCGGCTTAATTTATGAGGAATTTTACCACGATGCATGATATTACTCGATGACGAATGTAATCAATTTTATTCCAGGAACAACTTTGTATAAAGATTTAAACAGAATATTTTCCTTTGATAATAGTGATGGAAATTCAGATAAGATTATTGATTCTCGACTTACTGTCAGAAGTTATGGTATCTCATAGAAGTAAAAGACTTTTATGTGTACTTAATGCAATATTTACAAGTTTACCATATCAACTAAACCTTCTGGAGCAAGTACGTAAGCGCTTCTGTTATCTTTAATTTTAGACAATTTTAAAGGATGCTTGATAGGACTTTGGTTTCCCTATGAATAAGACGTATGGATTCTGCATATGATTTTTCTGGACGTTTTCAGTAATTTCATAGTAGCTTGCATTTTCCGACACATCGTTTTAAGTTTTTTTCTCAGAATTAAAATAGCGGAATTTTAATTTAACAATCGCTTCCACATGTCTAGAAAACAGATAAACAGCATTCATCAACAATTATGCGGAACTGTTCGAATATATTGACCAGTATACAATCATAGTAGAATACTCTATATTTTACAAATTCGAGGGAGAAACCAATTGTATCATTACGAAAATATAGTAACAAAAATTTCGAACTGAAAAAACCAAACAGATAAATATATTTATTTACAAAATTAGCGCTTAACTTACTTGAGAAATACAAGGAAAACAGTAACTATACTCAAAAATATTCTTAAGCAAGAGGGCATTAATGTTAGTATCAAAGGAAATACATTATTCTTGAACATAAACGAAAAAACTTAAATAGGTGTCATTACCAAGGTTTGATTTGATAATTTCGAATAAATTGAGCATTGGGTTGATTGTTATAAATAAAAATAATATATTTGTAATATCCCAATGAGTAGAAAATTGGATTTTCTGACGCTTCGTGACTTAGTGTAAGTCACTTCTTCCGAGAATAAATAACCAAATTAAAAATACAAGTCGTTAAGATATACGCAAAAATCATATGCCCAAGTATGTTAAGGTGGAATTTTTGTAACAATAGTACTAGGAAACCTGATGGGATAATCTTATATCAATTTCTAAATAATTCCTTTCTTCTTAGAAACTGTAACAAACAAGCAGACTGTAAAGACGAACCTTTTGTTCAATAATATATGTTTAGATACATTCAGAAAGTATTTCAACAAACGTTAATCCTTTAAGTTTTAAAAAAGCATACAAAACATGCAAAACACGTATACGGCTGGACTAATATCATTACCTGTAAGAGCCATCTACGTGTGGTACACGCTGTTTTAAATCGACCACTGGGGCTAGTGTTGTGCGAGTACTCCACTGAGAATTGGAAGAATCTGTGGCGGGGCGTCGACCCTGAGCACGTTTCACAGCCATGTGGGATTGCATTAATTTTAAACTAGAAGAGAAATTAAATAAAGCTGATTGCATACAAACGAAATAAACTCATGAATATGTATTTCAGTGAAAGCTCGGTTAAACTGAAGAACTGTACCAAAACGTATAGATTAAGGTTACTAGCTCTGATTTAATATGCTTAAGAAAAACGATTAAAATTAAGAAAATCCAAGATTACAACACGATCTAAAGAAAAAGGGAATAGGCAGCTTGTTTGATACCTGAATAACTCGACGGTTTCATAACTTTCAAACTACATCAAAGAGGCAGGGAAGTGAAAACAGGTTTGCAAGAAGATAATTAGAGAAGTCAATATACGTAGATCAGTTCAAGTTTTAGCCCATAACAAAACCAAACGGATAAGAATTATTGGAATGTTCCGGAGAGAAAAGCAAACAAGCATAGATTATATCCAAGATTTGGCATCTTCCTAACTATGGACTTCAACTAGTGATTTCTTACATTACGAGGACAGTTCACAGTTCGCAGCACAATTTCAACAGTACACAAAGACACTATACACTGACGCCAACATTTGACTATCCTTTACTTCATTTTAAACTAAACGTGAATGTATAAACCATATATTCACCCTTCGTCAGGTTCTGGAAAATCGATAGTTTTAGACATCCGACTATGGTCGTATTTCTTGACCTTAGGGCAGCGTTCGACTCCTTTGATCTCGAGAGTCTATGGAAGTGTCTGTCTGGTTACGCGGATGATATGGTTCTGTTTGAGGAAGGCGCTGACGAAATACGGTCTTTTAACTGCCTTAAACAACAATGAAAGCATATTTGGGTTGAGGTTCTCGCCCCCCAAATGTGATATACTACTTCAGGATTGGCTTGCATCAACGTTTGAATTAATGATAGTGAGTGAAGTGCTTGAACGCATCGACCGCTTTACTTATCTTGGAAGTCTCATCACTACTATTCTGGGATTTGGCCAAACAATTTTATCTATCTCTGCTAAGGGGGTATAGCAAATCGAACTGTTGTGTATACTTACTAGGTCAGTCAGTCAGTAACAACGTAGAACTTCGTACGTACGTACATCAGTTCGAGTTGCCACACCACATTAGCACAGAGATGCAGTTGTCGATTCAAATCCCGTAGTGGTAGAGGTAATAAGAGTATAAGCAGTAATCGGGAAGATTAGGGTTTGGAGATGTTATTTAAAGAGTATAATCCAGTGAAATAAATTTGGAAAGAGGAAAAAAGGGACATGAAGAATTCAGAAGATTAGAATTTGGGAGAACACAGAGAGTGGATGAACCTGCGCCATTGCAAACGATTTTGAGCCATGTCATTCAGGGTCTCTAACCATAGGTTGCTATCATCTCGCGGTCCCCAACCAGGTAGTCTACACCTGCCAACATGACTCAGTCCACTTGTCAGTGACTTCATGGACTTGTGCCATGTTTTGGTCTGGCTGCCTCTAGCTTTCTTCCAACCTACTCCTATACCACTGAACATAGCACGTCGAGGCAGTCGGTCGTTGAGCATACGTAACACGTGTCCAAGCCATCTCAACTGATGAAGTTTCACTACTTCATCAATTGATTTGCCATCCTTACCTAGTACCCGTTTCCTAACAACTGTGTTACTTACTCGATGGTCCCATGATATACGAGCAATATTTCGAAGACACCTATGATCAAATACTAGTAACTTACGGATATCCTCTACTCTTACCGGCCATGTTTCACTGCCATAAAGTAGGACGGAACGAACTGCTGCGCAGTAAACACGTCCTTTGGTTGATAGACGGATATCTCGCCTACGCCATAAATGACGCAAGTTGGCTAAAGCTAGTTGAGCCTTCTGTATCCGTGCTGAGACTTCGTCACACACCAAACCACAAGGGCTGATGAGACTTCCAAGATAAGTGAAGCGGTCGACACACTCAACTACTTGACTCCCTATCACTAGTTCGGATGTCGATGTAACCCAATCCTGAAGCAACATTTTGCATGTCGAGGGAGAGAATCGCATCCCGAACATGCTTGCATTGTTGCTTAGAGTGGTCAGAAGACTCTGCATTTTGTCAGCGTCTTCACCAAATAAAACTATGTCATCAGCATATCCTAAGTCAACAAGTGAACCTCCTGGTAGAAGTTCAACCCCTGTATATTTAGATGAGGAGAGTGTTATCTCTAAAAGTACGTCAATGACAAAGTTGAACAAGAATGGAAAGAGTGGACAGCCCTGACGAACACCACTTGAGGTGATCAATTCTGATGACAGTTCGCCATAAGCTCTCACTCTACCAGTTGTGTTCGAGTAGAGAGCCTTTATAAGGTTAATGTACTTCTTTGGTACTCCTTTCAGTGACAAACACTGCCATAGAACCTCACGATCAATAGAGTCGAATGCCGCCTTAAGGTCGAGAAATACTACCATTGTGGGGCGTCTGAATGTGTGTCTGTGTTCTAGAACCTGATGTAGTGTGAATATCTGATCTATACAACCACGTCCAGGTCGAAAACCAGCCTGGTTTTCTCTAGTCTGCTCGTCACGAGCTTTAGTTAGGCGTCGAAGTATTATTCAAGCTAATATTTTAGACACTATATTTGTCAAACTGATTCCTCTGTGATTGTCACAAGAGGACTTTTGTCCTTTCTTATAGACTGGCACAATCAGTGATTAAGACCAGTCAGATGGGATTACGTCCAGTTCCCAAATTCTACCTAAGACCTCGGTTAATCCCATTGCTAATACTGGACCACCATCCTTAAAAATCTCAGGAGTAAACCTGTCAGAGCCTGCTGCTCTCTCTCGTTTCAGATTTCCTATGGCTTTTTCAACTTCGTAAAGGGACGGAGGACTTACATTAACTTGCCATTCAGGTTGACTGGAGATCGTGGGAAACCGAAGTGTGGCTGAAGGCCAGTTGAACTGATCCCTAAAGTGTTCTGCCCATCGATCCAATCTCCTGGATTGAGAATGAATAATATGTCCATCTTTCTCTGAGATTGTTTCGCTAACGGTCGGGTTCCTAATTCCGGTTTCCTTAACGAGTCTAAACAATTGTCTGCTATTACCTATTGCCGCTGCCTTTTCCATCTCTCTTGCTTTCGCTACCCACCACTGTTCGCGATCATTGCGTAGACTTCTTGTCAGCTTGCGCTTAAGCTGACTCCGCTCTTCATTATGTTCAGAGCCAGGTGGAATGTGTTTTCGAGCATCTATCAGTGCGGTAGATGCTGCTGAGATCCAGTGTTGCTCCCTAACTTTACGGTTTACCTTACTAGCAGATATCACTGCTGTTTCCACAGCTTTTCGGATGTCATTCCATGCTGCATCGGGGTGGGCATCACATACATGGCTGCCTACTGTTTTCCTAGTTCTTCCTGAAATATACTCTTAGCTTGACTATCATTAAGTAGGCTCCTAAGAGGTTTCCTTGCAGCGTCTTTCTTACGTCCAGTAAGACGCAAGCAAATACGCGCTCGCACTGGAGCATGATCTGAATCTAAGCATGTACTCCAGAATGAGCGACAGTCTTCTATCGAGCCCCTCCATCGGTGGCTGATAGCGATGTGATCTATTTGGGTCCAACGTTGGGACGAATTAGGGGGTCTCCATGTTAAAAGATGTTTTCCCTTATGCTTAAAGTTAGTATTTGCAAGGAACAGGCGGTTATCTGAGCATAGCTGCAACAGACGGTCGCCATTATCTGTTCTTTGAGCCACGACACCATAGGATCCACCTAGGTGTCTTTCCTTATCGCTTAGTTTACCTAATTGAGCATTAAAGTCACCGGCCACTATTACTACATCCGAGCGCCTAGCTTTTCGGAGAAGGTCGGAAGGCAGCATCGCTGTCATGCTGGTTGTCCGAGGGAAACACCTTACTGCTGTCACACCTCTCTACAGTCAGCAGTACGACTTCGCCCTCAGACCTTGAGTTGCTGCTTTTAGTCTTACCGTTCTCCAATCGACCTGCCTGGCATGGTAGAACCTGCAGGAACATATGTTCCAGCCAATATAGCTCGGTTGGGTCATCACGATAGGCAAGCCCGACCACCGCGTCAAGGTAGCAGCTTCGATCGGGATACTTACTAGGTTCTACCCTGTGACCGAATGTTATTAACAATATGTTATATCGATGGGATATTTTCTCAACATCCGACGGAAGCATTATGGAAGAATTCCTTTAAGACAAAGAAAATGGGGAATTACGATGAAAAAAGTAATAACTAAAATAAGATTTATTTACACTTATTTGACACACTTCAACTTTACGCGTACCCACTTAACTACGCGTACATACACATAAAATGGGAACGAAAAACAGAAAGGGAAAACCATTCACTGTTTACACTAGCCACGATAATCAGATTTTAAAATCTTTTACGGTAAACACTTATATGTAAAATTATGATGTAAATGAGTAAAAATGTTTGACAACTATGAATGTACTACTGAAAAAGTAAATCATGTTACCTACCGCTATATTCTGGTGATTATTGACTATATTATGCATTTCAATATACCGATACATTAATTAATAGTTTTAGGATGAATATATTTGTATAAGGGTACTTACTTGCTTGCTTACGCCTGTTACTTACTCCTTGTGAAGGAGCATAGGTCGCTCACCAGCATTCTCCATCCAACCCTGTCCTGGGCAATCCTTTCCAGTTGTTATTCATCCTTTCCATATCTGGTTCTATTTCCCGACGTAATGTGTTCTTTGGTCTTCTTCTTTTCCGTTTCCCTTCAGGATTCCAAGTTAGGGCTTGCCTCGTGGTGTAGTTTGATGATTTGCGTAATGTACGTCCTATCCATTTCCGTCGTCTTTTCCTAATTTCCTCTTCATCTGTAAGCTGGTGTGTCCTCTCCCACAGAAGGCTGCTTCTGACGATATCCGGCCAATGGATGTTGAGTATCTTGCGAAGACAGCTATTTATAAATACTTGTACCTTCTTGATGATGGTTGTTGTAGTTCTCCAAGTTTCAGCTCCGTACAGTAGAACTGCCTTGACGTTCGTATAAAAGATTCTGACTTTGATATTGATTGAAAGTTGTTTTGAGTTCCATATGTTCTTCAATTGTAGGAATGCTATCCTTGCTTTGCTAATCCTCGCCTTTACGTCTGCACCTGAACCTCCTAGTTAATCGATGATGCTTCCCAGGTATGTGAATGATCTTACATCGTCCATCAAGTGTGATTGGATTGCTGTTATCCGTGTTGTATTTGAGGATCTTGGTTTTCCCCTTGTCCATGTTGAGGCCTAGTGATGCAGAGACTGCTGCTACACTGGCTGTCTTTATCTGCATTTGTTCGTGTGTATGGGATAGGAGGGCTAGGTCATGCGCGAAGTCCAAATCGTTTAATTAGTTCTGAGTTGTTCATTGTATTCCGTGTTGTCCCTTAGATGTCGAGGTCTTCATAATTCAGTCGACCACCAGAACAAAGAGGAAGGAAGAGAGTAGACAGCCTTGTCTGACTCCGGTCCTTACTTGGAATGCATCTGTCATCTATCCTCCATGCACGACCTTGCACTTTAGTCCGTCGTACGAGTTCCGGATAATGTTGACAATCTTCTCAGAAACTCCTAAGTGTTGAAGAAGTTTCCATAACGTTCTCCTATCTACACTGTCAAACGCCTTTTCATAATCAATGTATACATTTTCCCATTAGTATTGTTTAATATGAAGTTAAATAGTAAGTAGGTGTAAATACAGGCAAAGGGATGAAAAATAAAATAGTAAACCAATACTACTCTTAGTCAATCATTTCACTAGCTGAAGAAGCGAACTAATTTAAAGCCATTGAATAAATGATAACTTACCTGGAATTTGAATTGACTGAAGAAGCATTCACATTGAATTGATTAGATGATGTTACATCAGATTCCGACCAGTTAGCAGTGACACGCAAACCAACTAATGGAGCATTTCCTGACTTGTTAGACGACTCGCTTGATGTTAAATTATCGAGAGGTGTTCCGTCTAAAATATCCAAGTCATCATATAAACTTGACGTCATTGTTTTAAACTGAAGCTTCGATCCTATGCATTCAGCAAAACAACTGAAAAAGAACAATAATTCATTAAGTAACAAAGTCCGACGAATCAAAGTGTAATAATGTACAAGCATTCACTTATACAAAAAAAAAGAATTTTAAAAACCACATTTTAATAAAATGAACTTATTGAGATCATTGTTTGAGATCTATACAGACAGAGTACGGTCTATAAGTTTGGATTTCTACAACTTATAATGTAGATTACAATAACGGTTGTAATGTCCTTGAACAACTTTCCATATTGTCTGAAATTCACGAAATAATGTAATAAATAAAATTTATCTAATTTGTTCTACACTGAAAAAAATTCGCCAATTTATAAACTTAGGAGGACCCTCAAGAAATATAGAACAGTAACCAATTGTATGTGTTTAAAGAAGTTAATATAGTTGTACAGAATCTTCATATTTAATACGTGAGATGCAAACTAGAAAAGTCTTCAAGCAAACATTTTCTGGCTTATTAATTTTGTAAACCATATTCTTTCTGATTAGCTATTTGTAACTGAAAAAGAACATAATGGTAATATATATGGACAAATACAACTATGTTTGAGTCAATGTAAAGCCTTTTTAAGGTGAAAACTGAAGATAATTTTAAGAAACTTGATATTTAAATGTAATGAACACTAAAAAGTGGAGTATAGATACGAAGTCTGAATTATTTAGAAATACATGCATGATATTAAACGGTACTTCTTTCTAGAGTGAAGCAACAAAAATTCAGCCTGCTTTTAGCACAGCTATTGCAACAAATCAGAAAATGAAATTTGAATTCGAATTAAATTTTAAAAAGATAAAAGAACAAGATTAGTAATAATCTCGAATAGAATTCATAGTTAGGAAGTATAGGGATTATATATAGTTATCTAGTGATATACGTGAGAACGACAAATTATTTCCAACTTGAACTTTAGAACGAAGCTGACTTTTAAGACAAAAAAGATAGGTATGCAGAAATGTCAACTCGCGCAAATGATAACCGATTAAGAACTCTTAAATCAGTGCTATAACTGTAACCAAATTCAAGTTTGCTCTCCAGGGAGCCATTGCTATAAACTGAGTGATTACATGCAGAATATATTTTTGTGCAAATACGAAGATATACAAAAAGCATACTAATAAACATCTGTACACTATTGTATTAGACTGATATTATCATTAACTATTAAGCAGGTGCTACAGATTTGAACATCATCTCACTGCACGGGAGATTAGAGTATTTTCAAAGTTTGCTGAGATCCCTTTTAATATAGTTTTACTGTTAGGGGTAAATTAGGGAGAACTGAACAGTACTCAATAGTTTTGTCCAACTGAAGTCAGTAAATCTGAGTCTTTTAACTCTGAATTAATGTCTAAATGATGTGCTTTTTCTATAAACCTCAATTACCAATTTAATCACACGTTTATATTCCAATTTTCTGTAAAATGGATAAACAATACATGATTAATGAGGTTAAAAAGAACAGAAAACTCGACTCTCAATGTATAAAAGCCTTAACACTATAACGGACAAGTCGATGGCAGAAAGCACAATCGATATATCACTAAAGTAATATTTTAGAGCAACCGAAATTCAGAGCCAAACAGACGTATCAAAAAGGAGTACACACTGCATTAATTCACTTTTATTTTCTGTACAGAGCAGAAAATTGTACATAAAATTGACGTAACAACGTACTACATGAAGGTGTACACAGCACTTGTTCAATAATTAGGCATAATCATTCCAACATAGTATAAACGTATATTTTTATTGTATGATTAAGAACAAAAAGGCCACAAGATAAACAAACACAACACAGTTGATAATATTTAATTTAGAGGGAATTTTCTTTCAAACAAATGTAGAAATTGAAGGCAGTTGTAGGTCACCCATCAACATTAGCAGCAATAATTTTATGTACCGTTATTATTCAGTGAAATTGGATTCACATATTTATGAACAAATAGATGCATATATAATTGCAATTTTAAAAAAAAACGATAAAAATTATGTAATATACAAGCATGAGTTTTTTTAATTATTTTGTTTACATTGTCGAATATTGAACAAATTTATAAAACGGTATGAAATTTGTATATTTTTTCTTTGATTTGATTGAGAGCCTAGATATTAATGAGAATTCGTTGTATAGTTTATAATAATGCATTTTCTAAAAGAAAGAATCCAGTGAATAAAACGTAAACTATGCGTAAAATCCTGAAGAAGAAATAGATAACAATTAAGAGTAGTTGTTTTTTATTGCACATAAGTATATGTATAGTTGTTCATTTCATAATAACGTTTAGAATATTCCATTTTTTGCCTACGAATCTTTCTTTTTCAAATTCATGAATATTAAACTTTATGAACATATCGTTACAAGTAGAGTACATAGTAGTCACAGAATATAGCTTAGAAACGTTATTTATACAACAAGTTGTAGAGATTTATAAAAGCAACAAGATAAATTCTTTCGTTGAGTGACAAGGAATTTTACAGTGGTCAAAGATATTTTGAAAGACTAATGAAAAACAACGAAGAAAACAAAAAATGAAAGAACTTGGTTAAAAATTTTAGCATCACTTTTAGGTTAAAAGAATTATCAACACACATTTTCTAAACTGAAATTTCAAAAGTCCCATCAGGAGAATTAGAATCACCATCCTTTTGCCATCGTGTGACTAAATGATTAGAATTCCTATGTCCAGTTGATTGCATTCGATTGTTTGGTGCATTCAGTTTAGAAATTCGATTATGCGGAGGTAATGGTGGCGTAGGACGTGAACCAGCTTGTGTCATAATTGAAGGACAATGAGTCGAACCAAATGACTGAGATACAAATTTTGAAGCTGACTGCTCATTTGTACGTGAACTACCTATGAAGTAACTAGATCCATCCACTTGAACCCCATGAGGATTACTGAAATAAGGTGGTTTGACCAAACGAAGATTAGAGGATGCTGTGGTATTACTAAATTGACTAGCTGTATCAACCGGCAAGAAATATGGTACTGATTTAGAAATACCGTGAGGAGGTACAGCTGGAGGCCAAAATGGACGAGCATGAGAAATATTTGTCTGGGAGCCATGAGGAGGTAGAGGTGGAGGAAGACTGTGAAGTGACCGTGGAGATAAATGATTGGCAACTTCATTATGGGGTAGTAAGTGTCTTTGATCTACTTGCATTCCAGGAGACCGAGGATAAAACTGGTGCGGAAATTCATGACGGCGTTGTTCAGATCTCATTGATTTCACAAAACCCCTTGATATATTGCTAGTTGGTAGATTTACAGATTCAGGGGTGTAACAATCAAGTGTAGCTGACGTGACATAATGTATACCACGACCTGTTGAAGGGGAGTAAGATTTAGATGTACACTGTGTACCATTAAAATCCTCAGTGCTGAATTGTTCGGCAGTAGCAACACGCGGTTGAAAAAATGGCGCACCATGTGAACTTATCGGTAGGGTGACTCGATCGCGGATATTCATCATCGAATTAGATGATGTACAAGGACACATATTTTCATTGGAACGAGAAGAAAAATCACGTGAAGAACTTCTTCCAATTTCGGTAGCGGCACTCTGATCCTGTTGTCTGAGATGAAGCGAATTACTCGACTTACTTTGGTTTTCTATTGTAAGTTTTTGCGATTGACGTCCCCGAATCAAGTCAACGTCCGAATTCGCTTGAGATCCTAGAAGTGGAGTTAAATGGTCACCTTTTATGCCGAAACGATCTCTATCGGATATGATTTTTGTGGGGACATTAGTAGATGTTACAACAGAATTGATATTAGAATTAAAGCTAGCACTATTTTCATTTGATACATATTTTGGTGTATTTGTCCCAATCAGTAGACTTTTACCTTGATCTTTGTTACCTAAAGACTTTGACTTTGTTCCTACTAAAGCAAGATTAGGATTTGTTTTATTTAATTCGCCAGTCCTTCCACAAACAGGAGATTGCGATCTAGACATAAGGTTTTCATTAGTGTGGGTTGCATTTGAAAACTCTTTAAGGGATAAAACTTTTGATTGTGGGTTGGGTGAAAGAGATTTGTTTAATTCATGATGAACACTTGATATTAATTCAGATGTGTTTCGTTGATCAGAAGAATGATTAACTATATCTTCCAAATCCACCTTTTCACAAACAACTTCTCCCTGTTTAACAATATCAACCGGGTTTTTAGATGATTTCTACAAAGATATACAAAAAAATATTGTCACACAAAAACTAGAAATAAGTTTAACAATACATTTCTCGAGCATTTTTAACGCAAATGAACTTGACAGATAATAGTTTGTGTGGGAACAAAGGGTAGCAGTAATTCATGATGAACTAAATCATTTTACAGAACTTATGAAAGTTTGAGCCATATTGGTAGCTGAAAACTACCTGATTGAGGTCCGTGCGATGACTGCTCTCAATGGTTGAGTACACTAGGTGACATAGATAAGAATCAGTCACAGAAACAAACATCCATTTATTCTTTATCTTCTAGATCATGAATCCCGGAATATATTCATACATATCCTTTCATTCTTTCTTCCTAAACCTTAGTCTTAATGTTCAGTCTTTTTAATTATGATTGCTACTACAATTATTTTGACCACATATCTATTCATTTTATTAATTCCACCTTGTGTTAACAAAGTATGAAGAATCGAGTTGACCAAAATTTGTGCAAGTTTCTACGTTGATTATGGCTGATAGACAGAAATCGTTTCAACAACATATATGCAAACTTGGTCTGTATAACTTTGCAATATAAATATTCAACCACTTGGCTAGAAATTCAAGAATTTAGTCAGACGAACTGCACAAATAATCGATGTCATATAATGTTTATATATTATTGATTCATAGACTTGGCCTTTAAAGTGTGTTGTGGGGTCAAACTCCGGCTATCCATATATATGATGTGATAACCAGTCAAACAATTGATAATGAAATCAGTCTCATTTATTACGTAGTACACGAATCCCTTAATTACGTGAGACAAGGGTATTTCTTTGTATCTGTACTGATTTAATTCCACAATTAGACGGTTTTAAAAAAAAATGACAACTGACCAGTCGTTAGTAGAAATGGCTAAAAATTTCTAAAAGTAAACGTTAGGATTGTTATCATAAAGACAGAACCAGTGCCAAGTAATTTTCACACAAGTTAAATCTCAATACAACTGAACAGCTCAGTTGAACTGCGTTACAACAGTTCTAGTCTTAATTACTACTCTAAACCACTTAAATTTCATCGTAACTAAAAATTTGCTAAAATAACGTCACATTTTGTAATTTTTCGGGCTCATAAATGTATACAAAGCGACTCATAGTTCAGTGACAGAGTTATAAATTGAATAAAATAAGCTGGCTGTTGTTGCGATCTGAGTTGAAATTAAAGCTCGGTAGCTTTCAAACAACGATATGAATTGACAACAGAGTGGTCAACCGGTAGAGTATATCCTGTGCCATAACAGTTGTTATGCATTTCAGCATATATTTAACAGACTTGTAGTGACTCACTTTTATAACGAGAACATGACTGGTTTAATGAAAACAATTAGTATTATAACCAATTGTACCAGTGCTTGATTTAATGTGCTCTTTGTTTAACTGTGCTAATGACAGCTACATTGTGTTTCCATCGTTATTATTATTACACTTTGATTGTGACCTCGCGCGAATTCGGTTACGTTCTGTAACCAAGCTTGTATCTTGGAACGATCTCGGTATCCTTTCGGTACCACGAGATCGCCAGCGAATATATCTTGATTTGGTCCATTAACTGCCTTCTGATATTTCGCTTCCGGGGGATATTATGGATATCCTGGCACGCGTTCCTTTGTAGTGGTGTTCATAGTCTATCGCGACTCGACACCACGCTACAGACTAATATTCGAACGAAGAATATTATTTTCGATAAATTCTCTTCAAGTTCTACAATTATATATCCAAACTAATAATCCGAAAAATGGTCAGGTTAAGGGAAAAGTACATCGTTTAAAGTTAACGCGTGTGAATTTATGATTGTTAAAATAAATAGAATAAAATTGTTAATGTTGATATGACCCATACAGAATGTTAATTCGAATCAGCATATATGTTGAGCGAAAACTTAAAATCCACGTTTAGAACCTGAAGAGAATTTATCGAAAAGAATACTATTTGTTCAAATATTGGTCTTGTAATATGATGAAGATCTTTAAACAATTAATATATTTAACAACTAAAAGAATAGGAAGGCAAATATTTTACTGAAGCTTGTAGAATCGCAAATCAGAGACTGAGATGAATTAATCATGAACAAAGTAGCGCGTGATCACTAAACAAGAAACAGCCGAAAATAAACACCTAAACATGATTTTAATTACCACAAGGTGAAAAAAGATGAAACACAAAGTAAACTACTTCAGCAAAAATAGAAATCATATGTAGATACGTGATTGCTAAAGGAAGGAATTTCGTATATGGGTGAGTGACTAATAGAGATATACATAAAATTCTTCATATGAAGCGTGAACAATCAGTTGAAAACTTACACATAGTTAACAACAGTAAATATTAAATTGTATTCATGGAGAGACTTAACAAGTAGAAAGACTAGAGGTTTTATCTAACTGGTAGTATATTATGCAGTTTAGTCTACAGATTAAAGAGTCGAAAGAACGAATTAGAAAAACAACTATTTACAAAATACTACGGCAGGATGAATTAACTTACAAAAGTATCAGAAAGCTTGTAGTTATTAGAACCAGAACGCAAATTTGATGTTTGGCGGTGTTTGATAGGTTTACCATTATAGGATATTTCCCACATATCAACTTCTGCTACATTTGGTCGATTCAATCTACATGGAAAATATAAAATAAACTGAGGAAACAAAACTTACATAGGTGGTTGAGAGGTACAAAAAATGTGTAGCCAGTTCTTGCACAGGCCGCGATCATAAGGGTTCATATCAAGATCATATTTTGAAGTGACCTTTGAAATTATGAAGGAAAAAAACGTTGCATAATGAGAATATAACAATAATGAGGTAAACAAGTGAAACAAGAGTAAGTTACATTACCATAATTAAGCAGTTGTAGGATCAGACTTGGGAATAGAGTGACTATAAACTTACGGAGATGAAATTGAAGTCTATCAAAAAAATAATTCGCAAGAATTAACAGATATCAAAGAAACACCTAAAAGACTAGAATTATACTTATCATTTCAAGTCTAAAATATTTAATACCAAACTATCATACATCGAAAGTTCTATAACAATTGGTTTTCATTTTTTGGTCAGTCTGGAGATATAAAGACACAGGTAAGACACTTTTGAATTGAAATCACGTTGTAATTTCAGACTAAAAGCACTGATCAATAGGTTGCCAGGAAAGTTTTCCATTTTTTTTAATCTTACAATCAAAAGTAATACTTAGTTGACCCACGTGTTGTGGCTGTACACCCTAACTCATGAAGCACATGAATCCCAAATTATGGAGAATTTAGGCCACTAAAGTCAAATTAGTAACTTACTGAAGATAATTAAATCCATGCTCAAATCCCAAGTCATAGCGGATACATTCCTCTGACATATGGGAATTAGCAATCTCAGCAGGTTAATATCGACAAACAAAAGATATTTGTACAAACATCTTGATGAAATATGTAGTGACAAAACTCTCGGGCGAAAGTCACCTAAGACTTACCTGTTCATTTGTAGTTCGTCCTTTGCTGACTAAAAAAATGTGAAATCCCGTCAGACCTAGCACAGGAAGCAGCAATAAGCCTACCAAAATTAACACGCCAATGCTGAAAGATAAGCTAAGGAATACTGAAAGTTTTGTCTTCAGTTAAAAAGACACAAGATAAAGGATACGCAATAATGACTTTGTAGTGAGAGAGTTCATTCGTACGCATCAGAACATACGTCATGGACACGCCAAAAACAATAATCATATGAAGAGTTAATGTGAGTAGGAACGAGAAAAAATACCGATAGTTCCGTTTCCCAATACAATTGTTCAGCCAAGGACAATGATGATCAAACGTCTGAAAATCTTATGGCGGACTGAACAACTTACATCAATGCAATGTTTGCAAATAGAGCAATGAGAACAGCGAGGAGGTCTGTAAAATTCACATGTGACACACCATTTCAAACGGGTGGAAACTCCATTTATGTCAACAGACTTATACATTACAGTACGAGGGGAACCTTTCTCAACAGTAGTCATCTTTTCACCGGGAACCCCTATTTACAAACGGTTAGTGTGAGGCTCAGGACGCACCCATAGCATAATATCCAGGGTCCATGAAGGTTGCCTTGCCAAATGCAGATACCACAAAGAAAAACAGCAAAGAATGACACACAGTAAATGCATAACTAGTTTCTTTGCTAAAATCCCAACAACTGAAAAGTTAGTAGTAAGCTTATAATAACCTACATAAACACTAAATACAAAACAGTAAGAAATATAAGGAGAAACCAAGCAATCAGAGCTGGACCAATATTTTTTGAAAAGGCTTGGCAACTCATAGTCCATCAGTAACGAAAACCCCATCAAATGTTAACAGTAATTTGGTTGAAAAGGCCGGCATTTATAGTGATTAGCATAAACAAATAGCATGGTAGTACTAGTCACTTAGACTGAAAAATCACGTAGCTTTCGTCCTGAGATTCGCATTTTGCAGATCGCTTTTCTTTTCGAGTTTCATCCGAATTAATCAACAACTGTGTTTGTATCTCAGCTTACTATTCTGCATACAAGGTTTTTCAAGTCAATAGGCTTATTTTAGTATGTCTTAATCTTTCATAGTACTCGCTTTTAACCACCTTTCCGATTCGGGCATCTTGTTGTCTTCACGATCGCGAACTTCTGCCTGAATATGTTTAACAATTTATATTTCACCATGGTCACTAAGCTCTCATGTAAGCGGTCTGGGTGCCATTTTATGGTCACATGTGGTATAGAGGGTGACGAGTGTAAAAGGTGGCCTCAAGAAGCAAGCATGGGCTTAACAGTAAAGCTGGGGATTCACTGAGCAATATCATCAGTTCTGAAACGAATAAACAAACAAAGACGTTCAGTGAACTGAAGGAGATGGTCTTCAACGGTATTCACTTTGATGAAATAAACACCAAACTATTGAGGATATACTGAACCTTGAAACCGCTAAAACTTGTGTTTCCCTGTAAAGCACCTTCGAGTGCTACTGGGGACCTCGTAACTTCTACTGAAGGAGACCGGACTCTCGTCACCAAGGCTGAAAAGGATCGAGAGTCAACGTCGAGAATGCTGAAAAGCCCAGGTCCCGTATGAAAATCAGCTAATTAATCTTCTGTCCAAGCTAAACCCAACATTGCTCAGCCAGTCAAGAAAAAAACGGCGAGAATATAATTTATGGACGAACCAATCAGATTTACGATAACAGGTCTTGGATTTGGGCGCGAAATTCATTCACTCATTTGGCTAAATAGAGTCTTGGCATTATAGCTGATGTCAGTTCGTGATGAAAACCCTGAATCTAATTCCTAAAACCAACCTTCAACTAAAAATCATAATCTTTTTTCTTCAAATTGTTACATAACCCTCATTCAACCATAGTAATCTGGTAGACATTTTCAAGGTCACTTTGGCGTCGCTCGAAGGTCGTCCATAAATCATAGTCTCACCGAAAAAACACGAAAATTCGGATCGTAATCCAACTGCAGAAGAAAGGACCTCAACTTAAATGTACCCGAAAACTTGTTAAAGTGTTTACAGTTCGCGATGATTCGCTATTAATCATGAACTTTGGAGACAGCTATGACCTACCTCCTGGTCCGTAGGACGATAACGACCGGATGCTTTGGGAAGTTGGACAGAAAGCTCAAACTCCCAAAAATTGAGCCGCTAACGGTTATACGCCTTTTTCGGAGGACGGATATCAAAAACTAGATGTTCACTAACATCGATGTTGTAAAGGATGTTTTGCTACCCAATCAGATGTTGAAACCAGACGAGAATGTGAAGATACTACCTGATATACCGTATTCTGAGCATGATTTCATCATTAAAGTTCTAGAGGAATCTCAAGAAACGTTCTTTCGTGGAAAAGATGTATTTGTCCAGGGTGTCCAAGAAAAAAAGAACCCTGATTATGCAGATTACGATATTCTAAAATGGAAGTGCTTTAGGCAGTTCTTAAAGTTTTAGAACATATTTACTCAACAACAGTACGATTAGCCACGAAGGACGAAAATTTTATTACCTGGCTAATGAAGATGACTTTTCCATCCGCCAAAATGTTGGCCGTTACCCTCTAACCATTTTGTATCAACAGACACTAGTTGACAACTGTGTTCTATATACATCAGAGCAAACTGAAGCCAGCTATTTTAGTTGCAGACAGTAAAAAAAGTAGAAAAGATAGTGTTTACTCACTCGGGAAACACTGTGTAGGTAAGTCGCATCTCCATTCATAGTAGGTCCATCCAGACAAGCGGAACGAGAACGCTCACGCTTTTTAAATCGAGAGCATCTACTGCCTACATTAGGACACTACGAGTTTATCAAAAAAATAGGTGAATTGCGCTAATTGTACTCATTTTTATAAAAATGTTTGGAACCTAGAAAGTTCATTTTATGAACCAGGAGATTGCAATACCCGGCATAAATTTGTACTGCAACGACAGAAGAACAGGAATGGGGGGATGGAGCATCCCTGTAACTAGGATCAAGTGTACACCAAAGAGTATCAATCTTGAGCAATCTTTATGGCGCTCAGTAAGGTTTTCTAACATATTAAAGTGTCTTATTGAAGTCATCTACAGAAAGCCCACTGCGGACAACGATTGTATGCTGGAGGATTATCCAGCTTTATTCGTCTTGATTCATAACCTGATTCTGCAAGATTTTAATCCTCCAAAAGTGAATTTTGCTGAACACACGTAAACTAAGGGCAACAACCCTACTGAATCTCGGTCCTTCGACTTTACTGAAGATCTGGAAGCGTGAAGCTAGAAACTCGGTCGAGAAACATTTAAAAGCTGTCACACCTAGACTGCACATTTACAAGTGAAGAATTCCCAATTGACAACAATACAAACTTGATTCTTATCTTAATCCATATGAATCATCTTTTTGCTGAAGATTTGAAGCTTTGGAGAGAAGTTTGTAACCAAGATGATAAGCTGGCACTTGGGGAGTATCTGACTCGACTTCAAAGTTCAGCGGACAACAACGGACTTGATTTCAACGATTCGAAATGTAAGGAAACCCGTCTCAGACAAGTTGCAGACTACGCGTAAAACGTGGGGAAATCTTCACTTGAGATACCTCAATTTAAAAAACATTTTGAAGAATTGGTACCCTATGGTCTGAAGTTATGCGTCATCTGCGATAAAAGTACACTTCAAGCAAACCTCGCACTGGTAACGTTGAAACGCATTTTCGGCCAGTTTCATTGTAGAATTTTCAACCCGATTTTCAACAGTTTTGTTCGATCCTATTTGGAGTATGGAAACCAAAGTGTTTTTTCTCTCCCTACAAAAGGACAAGAATACACTAAAACGTATCCAATGGCAAAATATGGTGGTATTAGTTCATAACCACACTGTCTATGAGGCTATATATGTGACTACTGGGATTTACATTCGATATGTAATAAAGAGATTAAAAATGGAGAGAAAAATGAGATTAACTAGTGATTAATAGTATGCTGAACACTCCTAAGCAACCCCTATGATATTTACTTAAGCTCAGTCGAAACATAAACTTTATCGCTTACACTTAGATTATAGAGACGTAACATAATAGAATGGTTGCAAGCATATCTTTTACTCTTTACAAGTAGTAAAGTTCTGGAATTCGCTGCTGGCTAAGGTGGTCTTAGTGACTTATCAGACCTCTCAGGACAGTATTATATTATAGTTTGCCAATGTGACTCCTTTTATGGTTAAGCATACCTGTGTACCTACCTGAAGGTATCGCTGATCCATTACAACTAGGAACGAAACCCCGTTAAGCAATAGCTCACATTAGAATCGTGGATACTGTACAAAGTTTTCCATGTGACGTTCGGACTAAAAAGGGTCACTCTAGTGAAAATAACATTGAGATAATGTTTTCGAAGCGAATGGCTACACGCCACACCATATTTACAAACTCTATTGATGTATTTACTCAGATACGTATATTTTCAGTTTCGCTTCCTCATTCTAACGGAGTGACTGTGCAAACCTTAGCGACGAATCGATGCTAAATAGTAATACTAGTAATAATTTATTCTCAAATTTAGCTCTGTTACATGAGGATTGCCAGTTTACAGGCAAGATCAACTTGTTACAGACGATACAGTTTTCACTGTGTTGGGCTACTCAGTTTGACATTTTATAAGGTATACTGAACATAAAAGTATGGGGGATAATACTTCTCACTGATGAATACAAATAATGTTTGTAAGATCCGTATTGTCAATACGACAGTTGGCGAGATATTACACGTAGCGTTTCGACGTGCAACTGACAGTCGGGAGTAAATCCACGTAAACTTGAGAGATTCTAGAAACTGTGACTCTATTTTAAAATAGCTATGCGGACTGTTCTTGCACAAATACCACTTTATTTGACGGATTATTTGTGTGGAAATATATTATGCGCAGAGAAACTATAGAAACTTGGTGTAGTGGAGAAAATTGGAAAATTTACACAGAAAAACAGAACTTACTCAAATACAACAATTTGTAACGTAAGATAGCTAAGGTCGTATATGATGAAACGCTATCCTGCTGCTTATATGGAATTCCAAAGTGTCCAATGCCACTAAAACAACACTGAACATAGACAAAATTCTCAGTCAACCAAAATGCATCTTCAACTTAGAAGGCTGGTCACTTTATGTTCATCACCACCACACTTCGTCGTTGTCACGGATGACTACGTAAGCTAATGGAGTGAGGACACAACTCCGTTATCACCGATTGATATCGTTTTGTACATTACCTCTGCCAAATCTCCAGCTGATCCTTCTGGTAAAATTCTGTCGGACATCCAAGAGTACTAAGGGGGATAACCTGGGTACTAAGTTAAACTGAGTTAGAATAATAATTTGCGAGTTCAATGTAGGATTACGTAGGTTAACTGGTTACAGCATTTCATTTCAGTAGGTGGTCAAGTGACACCTCTGAGGTAGTACCTTCGTGTTTGACAGATGACTTTAATTTATTGTGCCTTCTAGTTCGCCTTGTAAAAATAAACCCAAATTTATAATTATTTAGTGAAAGATGTGTGGATTCATTTTTTAAATTATTTACACTGTATGGGACAAAATTGGGTGACACTGTTTCTTAGTTATTATTATACTATCTTATCTAAACGCAGAGGGAAAAGGCGATGAAAGATTATATCAACTTGGTTACATGTAAGCTAAAGGGACATCAGATGTGTATATTTCCTGTCCAAAGTACAGGAAGGATTTCACGTCAACTCGTGCAGAAATCTGACGTGGATGACTGATTAGGTACCTCCGGTTGGTAGCATTCAATAAAATCAGTCAG